ACGGCGACGACGGCGGCGGCGGCGACGACGGCGAATGCCTGCGCGCGTTCTTTCTTCAGATCGCGGTGTTATCGAACCACCAGAACGGAAGGGACACGCACGTGAGGCAGATGAAGATATTCGGACCGCGGACGGACCCGACGGCGTTGATGGGACGCGGGATATCCTTCGCGACCCCGGAGTTTGGGCAGTTCGCCACGGTGAGATAGATGACAGCAGAGAACACGAGTAGTTTGTTTGTCTTAGGCGCATCGTGCGAATCCAATGCTATCAGACGCGAGCGAGCGACCGCTGCTAGTGTGCGCTACGATGGGAGGAGGAGGAGGAGGAGGAGGAACGCGTCGTCCGCGACGGACCGTCGCCTCCCGTCGTCACGCGCGCGCGACTTTCCAGCTCAACAAGTTCCCCAACGCCTCGCTCCCTTCCTTCGTGCCATCCTCCCCCGCGTGAAGCACCGTGCTCATGAACTTCTCTTGCTTCACCTTCCCGCGCGCGATCCCGAGGTTTATCCGCGCGACGTCGAGCAACCGCTGGTCGCTCAGCCCGCGCGCGAGCTCAAAAAACTTTTCGAAACAACTCGCCGCCTTGGCGTGTTCGCCCTCCGCGCTTCGAATCTTCCCGAGCGTGCACCACGCCCGCGCGTCCGCGCCCGGGTCCCTCACGACGCCCTTGCCTCCGCTCTCCTCCTCCGTCTCCGCCTCGCGCGCTTTCGCGAGGAGGATCGCGCTCATCCCGCCGCCGCCGCCGCCGCCGTTATCCGGCGGCTCCCCGTCCAGAAAAAACTCGAGGCATCGCGCCGCTTCCCTCTGATGCGCTTCCGCCGCCGCCGTCTCGCCGCTCGCGATCGCGGCGTCGCGCATCGCGAGCCGCGACGCCGCGAGCGCGCGTCGCGCCTTCCCCGCGCCCACCGCGTCGACGGGGGAGGCTTTCCGCGCACACAGTGTCAGGTGGTCGTCCTGGCGTTCCAACGCCGCGGCGTGCTCGCCGATCCTCGCGAGCGCGAGTCCCAACCGGTAGTTCGCGTCCGCCTCCAAGAGCACGCCGCCGTCGCTCTCGCCCTCCTTCCTCGCGACGTCCAGCGCGCTCGTGAGGAAGCGCACCGCGCCGTCGCCGTCGCCCTCGCGCGTCTTCGCGTCCGCGGCGGCGTTGTAGGCGCGAATGAGATGCCTTCGCGAGGAAGAGACGTCGTCGCGGGAGCCGTCGGCGGCGGCGACGGCGACGAGTCGCTCGTACGCCGCGATCGCGTGCGGGATGTCGCCCATGGACTCGTACACCCTACCGAGGTCGCCGTCCGCGACCATCTCCGCGGCGGGGTCTTTCGCCTTCCTCGCGGCTTTGAGGCGCTTCTCGTAGAAGAAGATGCCCTTGCGCGGGTCGCCGACTTTCAAGAAAAACTCCGCGATGGATCGAAAGGCATCCTGCGTGCCCGCGTCGTCGCCCTCCCTCGCGCTGCTCTCCGCGTGCACGAGCGCGTCGCGGACGAACGGCATGTGCTCCGGATCGACCTCGTCGTCGATGAACTCCTCGATCTTCTTCGCGTCGAGCGCGTCGGCCGCCTGCCCCGCGGCGAGCCGCGCGGCGACCTGCGCCGCGCTGGGCTGATCGTCCGCGACGCCGTCGCCCGCGGTGGTGAGGTAGTAAAAGTCGATGAACGCCGCGGGGCAGCCCTCCATGAGCGCCTCGATCGACATCGTCTGCTTGTCCGGCTCCTCGGGCGGGCGGTGGTTCATGAGGATCGTCTCCGTGTCCATGGCGACCGCCGGCGTCGTCGCGAAGCTTAGATGCTTCGATCTCCTTTTAGAATCCGACGGGGCGGGGCGCTCCCCGACTGGTAGGAGGCAAGCCGGCGGGGTCGCCGCCGCGTCGGGTTCGCGACGACGCGCGCGCGCGACGCGCGCTCGCTCCGAGACGTCGACTAGGACGCGCGACGCGTCGAACGACGACGAGCGTGCCTACCCGACGACGTGCGCGCTCGAGTGTAGACGCCTCGAATTAGCGACCCCAACTCAATAACGACAAAACGAGTTCATCGATCGATCGTGACGCGAAAAGCGCGGCGGCGTCGGCGGCGACGGCGCACTCCACGACGCCGCCTCCCACGATGTCGGCCGCGACGGACTGGTCGCTCACGCGCGAGACTCTCGTGCGCGTGTCCTGCGTCGATCCGCTCCCCGCGCCCCCCGAGTATCTCGACGACGCCGCGGTCGAGCGCCTGCGCGGATGGGACGCGTCGGCGCGCGACGGCGGGGGACCGGCGCTCGGCGTCAACTGCTGCGCCGTGTGCGCGGCGTCGTTCGCGGCGGCCCCGTCCGCGTGCGAGCGATGCGACGTCGTCAAGTACTGCGGCGAGGCGTGCCTCGAGAAGGACGCGGCGACGCACGCGCCGATATGCGCGCTCGCGTCGTTCGCCTCGCGTCTCGCCGCGGTCGAGATGGACGCGATCGACGCCCGCGCCGCCGCCGCCGCGTCCGCGAGGGCGTGCGTGAAGAACGTCAAGCTCCTCGGGAAGACCGGGACGTCGCACATCCTTGGCCCGAGAGGGTACGGCGAGCGCGACAGCGAGCGGATCGACGCGGACGCGTGCGCGAGCCGCTGGGGCGCGGTGTTGAAGCTCGCGGAGCGAGGGAACGCGCACGTCGTCGTCCCAAAGTCGGCGGAGGCGGCGACCGCGGACGACGACGCGCGGCTGGCGGCGAACGCGGCGGCGGCGAAGACGGCGAAGACGCTGAACGACTTCGCGTCCACGGCGAGCTACCCGCTCTCCGTCGTCGCCGCGTCGTGGCTGTTCCCGGTCGTGAAGTACGCGCTCATGCTCGGCGTGAGCGGGCACCGCGTCGACGACGACGACGACGGCGGCGGCGACGGCGGCGACGCGAACGAATCGGAATCGCCGACGGAGCCGGCGGCGCTCCACGTGGTGTGCGGCCCAGACGCGGACGCGCACGCGCTCGACGCGCCGTCCGACGTGTGGTGGCTCCTCGGCGCGGGCGCGGCGTTGGACAAGCCGGGCGTGGACGTCAGCCTGATCGGCGAGGGCGTCGCCGCGAATGAGATGGCGAACGAGTACGGTTTCGCCGGGTCTTCCCACACGCCGAGCGTGAAGCGATTCGCAGAGAGTTACGAAACGCACGCCGCCGCGGCCGCGCGCGGCCCGTGTCTCGTCTTCGGCGTCGGTTTGAACATCGCGAACGCGTGGGCGACGCTCCGCGGCGAAGAGGAGGAGGAGGAGGAGGAAGACGCGTCGGAGACGACGGAGGAAAAGTTGAACGTCATCGGCGCCGCCGCCGGCGCGGTGCGCGCCGCGCGACGCGCCGGGTGCCCGCTTCTGACGTCCAACCCGACGCGAGTAGACGTGAGCTACGAGCAGGAGGCGATGGAGGACGTCTTCGGGTACGAGCTCGTCGGGATGGCGAGGAATCCGTTCGCGTACGCGACGCCGGAGCTCGCGGGGGTCGGGGACGTGATTCGGCGCAACGAGTGGCTCGCCGCGTACGTGCCGAAGAGGTCGGCGGCGGCGGAGGTGGGGGGGGAGGGCGCGAAGCGGTCCGGCGACGACGGCGGGGGGGGCGGCGGCGACGCCAAGAAGGCGAAGAAGAAGAAGTAGGCGTTAAGGTTTAAGGGTACCCCCCTAGAATGATATTACATTACGACGCGACGCGGCGCGTTTAGAGCGGCGAGAAGCGATCGATCCTGTCTCTCGGCTAGATCGATCGCCCCCCGCGTCCCTCCGCGTCGCAACACCCAGCCTACCGATAGTGCCCGTCCGGCCCCGGGGTCGTCCCCCGCTCTCTCCCAAAGTCGTACAAGATCTCGATCCCCGGCGGCGGCGGGTTCCGCGCGTATTTGCTCCCGCCGTACGACGACGGCACCGTGTACGGGTCCGGATGCGCGTACCCGTCGAGCGTCTTCTCGCCATCCTCGATCGCGCGCTCGATCGCCCCGGGATCTCTCAGCGATTTGTTCTTCTCGAACATCGCGCGGATGCGGTCGCGCTCGGGGTAGAACACGTCGCGCATGACCGCCCAGCTCAGGCACGTCTTCAGGGAATGCCTGACGAGAGGACGAGGAGACGCGGGGCGAGGATCGGGCGTCAGGATGTGAGAGGGTCGGAGGGGGGGAAAAAAAACCCTATTTCGCCGCGACCCGCGCGCGATGGGCGAAGGCGACGGCGCGCGGGCGCGGACGACGCGCGCGCGCGCACCTGTACAGGCGCGTCACCCGCGTGGCGTTGGACATGACCGACATGATGCTCGTTCCGCGGCGGGGAACCTGCCGAGGGCTGCCGAGAGTGAGGACGCGGAAGGGTCGCCCTTTCGCTTTGAACGCACAGCTGGACGGACGCGGACTCGCTCGCGTTTTCACGCCTGGCTGCAGCAGTCACTGCCTCGAGTTTCCTCGGAGCGAACGAAGTCCCCGCCGCCGCCACTTCCACCCGCGCTGCCGCACGCTCGCGTTCACCCGAGGGCGTCATGGCGAAAGGATCTAGGCGCGGTCGCGTCGCTCCGCCCGCGCGCGAAACGCCGAGCGCGGACGTCGACGAGAGCGCCCCGGGCGGCGGCGTCCTCGGCCTCCTTTTAGCGCGGTTCGACGAGCTCAAAGAAGAACTCAAACACGTCAGGGCGGAGCTCGAGAGCAGCCGGGCGGAGACGCGGAAGACGCTCGATGAGGTTCTGAGAATCGTGAAGCCGCCGACGTTTCACGCGAACGAGGACATCGCGAGCGTCGTCTTATCGCACGTGTCGGACGTGCACACGCGCCTCGCTCTTTCGCGGGTGAACACGGTGTGGCGCAACGCTTCGAAGCACGCGTCTTCTCTGCCGGCCTCGCTCGACTTCACGGGTTGTCCGGACAAGTTGCTGGAGGATAAATCGTGGACCACGATGTGCGCCTACGTCCTTGGGATTAAAGGCGTGCTCGATCTGCCCGAGGCGCGCTTTCACAACCTTCTCGAACAGGCCGGGGCTGACTTGTCCAACAGCAAAGACCAGTGCAACCTCGGGAGCGTCTACGACAACAAAGCGAAGCGTTACGAGAAGGCGCTGGAGTGGTGGGAGAAGGGGGCACTTCAAGGTTGCAACTTGTGAGTTCAATATAGGTCGTCTCTACAAGAGCGGCCGAGGCGTGGAGAAAAACATCGACACGGCGATCGAATGGTTCACAAAGGCGGCCGATAAGGGTCACGTCTCCGCACTAAACAGTATCGGCACTCTCCACTACGAAGCAGGACGATACAAGGAGGCGTTCCCGTGGTTCTCACAAGCGGCCATTCGAGGCGAAGTCATGGCAGAGCATAACATCGGATTATGCTACAAACTTGGAAGAGGCGTGACGAAGGACATCCCCAAGGCCATCGAGTGGTTTACGAAGGCCGCGGAGAAGGGCTTCGCTGAATCGATAAACAGGCTCCGCGAACTCAACCAACCTGTGGCATAAAGTAGGCGACGACGTCACGATTCGAATAACGACGAAAGCTACGACACGCACGCGCGCTCTCACAGCTCCTCTCTACCCCCACCCCCACCACTCCCACCCCCGCCACCCCCACCCCCACCACCCCCACCACCCAACGTGAACCGCCGCAACCACGCCTCCCCCGAGAAAATCACGCCCGGCGACACCACGTGATCGACCCACCCGACGGTGTCCACCCACACGCCGTCGTTCCCGGTCACGTTCCTCCACCGGTCGCAGAACGAAAAGTCCTCGCTGACGAAGTGCCGCGTCGTCTTCGCTTCATCCCCCCCGTCTTCCCCGTCGTTCTCCTTGAACAGCGGGTGAAAGAACGCGTAGTGCGTCGCGCCGGTGCCCGGATCCAGATACGCCAGCCGTTCCCCATACGCCTCGACCATCATGCGCAACGCTCTCCTGGACACCATCGTGAACCCCGTGGGCGCGCGACCGACCCTCGCGAAGCCGTCGTCGTCGATGTGCAACGTCCCGACCTCGCCGCCGGCGATCGGGTCGGTCTCGTGCTCGAACTCGAGGGGGTAATCGTGCGACGCCGCGCGCAGAAGCGTCGTCTCGTCGACGGCGGCGTTTGCGGCGGCGTCGGCGTCGCCGCGCGGCTCGGAGAGGCGCGACGCGAGGCGACCCCAGTCGATCCCTTTCTTCGGGTACATCCCCGCGACGACGTCGTGATTCGACTCCGCGAACCGCTGGATGAGCTCCGGCGCGAACGCGACGTCCGCGTCGACGAAGAGCAGGTGCGTGAGCGACGGATCGCGGAGGAACTGCGCGACGAGCGCGCCTCGCGCTTTCGGGAGGTCGGCGATCCCGGGGACGGTCGCGGACACGAGCGACACCGCGTCCGACGCGGCGTAGTGCTCGTACGCGCGGATCACGGAGAGGTGGAACGCGTCCGTGATGTGCCCGCCGTAGCACGGCGTCGCGAGCATGACGCGATGACGCCGCGGACTCGACGATTCGTCCGCGGTGGGCGACGACGATTCGTCCGCGGCGGGGGTCGCGCTCGCGTCTTCTTCGCCCGCGGCGTGCGCGCGCGTCGACGCGAACCCCGCGAGGAACGTGAGCAGAAGAAGAAGATGAAGCGATCTCGCGCGCAGGGAAACGCGCTTCATCGCGAAGAGACGAACGAGAAGCGCGCGCGCGCGTGGGGGGGCGCGCGTCGATCTGTGCCTCCGAATGTTAAATCAATCCGTCTCTGCTGCTACACCGCCGGCAAACTCTCCACCTCGCGAATCGCGTCGACGTCGACGACGCGCAAGGGCAGCGGCGACGTTCGATGCTCGGGCCACGGCCGCCGCGGCCGCTTATCCGGCGTGCCCCCACTACGTATGATCTTCGTGAACAAGTCGTCGTCGTTCCCGTCGCCGTCGCTGTCGCTGAGCTCCGTGGGGATATCCGCGGCGTCGTCGTCGTCGTCCTCCGCGTCTTTTTCTGCGGCGGCGGCGGCGGCGGCGGCGGCGGCCGTTGAAGTCTCCGGCGGGAGCTCCTCTTCGCTGACGTCGTCGTCGTCGAACACGATCGCGCCCGTGGACGACGGCGGCGCCTCCGCCGCCGGCGGCGGCGCGCTCGCGCTCGCGCTCTCGGTCTCGGTCTCAATCTCGGACTTCTTCTCGCTCCCATCCTCCGCCTCCGCGTCGATGCTCTCGCGCGCCAACCGCCGCGCGATTCGCCTGTCTCGATACGTCCTCGTCTCCGCCACCGTCGACGCTCGCAACGGCGCCGCTCCGGGGGACAGCTCCGCGTCCAGGGTCTGCTGCCAGTCCCACTGCCACTTCTCCTCGAACGCCCACTCCGCGAGCGCTTTCCCCGCTTTCGCCCGCGTCGAGTCGCGGACGCTCGGCGGCGGCGACGACGACGACGCCGGCTCCGCCGCCGCCGCCGGCGCCGGTCGCCGCCCGACCGCGCGCCGCCCGTGCTTCGGCCCCGGGGCGGGCGCGGGCGAGTTCCCGCCCGGCGGCGTCGCGGAATTCGACCTCGGCCGCAGCGACAGCTCCTCCTCAGCCTCCCCCACCGCGGCCGCGGCGGCTTCCTCGACCTCGATCGCGCGCCGCTCCGCCTCCGCGACGGCTTCGAGCGTATCCTCTCTCCGCTCGATCATCCTCCGAAACGACGCCTCCGAGCGCTGCTTGATCACCGCCGCGTCCGTCTCCGGGTCGTCCCATCGCGCGTCGTGCGCGCGACGGCCTTCGCCTCGCGCCGGCGCCGTCGTCGGCCGCGCGCCGCGCTCCGACGGCGTCGACGGAGCGGCGACGGAGCCGCCGCCGGGCGGAGAGTTCGTCACCGCCGCCGTCTTCTTCGCGCCCGTCGGGTGCCACCGCGCCCGCACCAACGGCGTCGACGCGGACGCCGTGTGCGGCCGCTCCGTGTCCTTCCACTTCATCGCGATCTCCTCCGGCGTCATCCGATTGGTCGCTCCTGAATCCCCCCGCTCCTTGATTGGCTGTCGCGTGATCGGATTCGCGTCGGACGGCGGCGCGCGCGACAACGACATCGTCTGCAGCGCCTCCGCGACGCGCACGCGGTCGCTCACGAGCGCGCGCTCCTTCGCGAGCTGCAGTAAGAACCCGCGCTCGTCCGCGCTGAGTCGCGTCGTCGTCGCGCCGACGCCGCCGCCGCCGTCGGCGAGATCCTTCGCCGCGGCCGCCGCCGCCGCGTCGACGCGACGCGTCGGCCGCGTCGGCGACGTCGACCGCGGCGGCGGCGCCGCCGGCGACGACGCGGGGCTTCTTCGCATCGCGCTCTTCAGAGGGCTCTTCTTCATCGGGCTCGGGCTCGCGCGGTCGTCGTTCTCCTTTTCCTTCTCCGTTTCTTCTCTGTCTCTCTCTCTCTCGCGGTCGCGGTCGACGGAGGACCGAAGCGATCCTCCTCCGTCCCACGAGTCCCACGACGCGCGCGGGTCGAAGTGCCCTCTTCGGCCGTTCCCGGCGCCGCCGCCGCCGCCGGGGCCGCCGAATTTTAACCCGCGGCGGGATGACGCTCTCAGCGCGGCGCGCGGCGGTTCGATACGTCGCGTCGTCGTCGTCGTCGAGCTCAAACGCTCGACGCTCCTCCGAACGCCGCCGCCTCCTCCGCCGCCGCCGCCCGGGGCGAACGTGACCGCGCGCGCGGACCTCGGCCGGAGCGGCGACCCTTCCACGCTCCTCCGCGCGGCGTTCGCCGACGCCGTCGCCGGCCGCCTCGACCTCGACCCGCCGCCCGCCGCCGCCGGGGAGGACCGCGCCGACGCCGACGCCGACGCCGTCCCGCCGCCGTCGCCGCGCCGCCCCTCGCCTTTCCTCAGAAAGTCTTTCCTCGCGCGCGGCAGCGGGCTCAGCGCGCTGAGCTCGTTTCCGTCGTCGTTTCCGTTTCCGTCACCGTACCACCCCGCGGAGGTGGACGGGCGCGCCGGCGTGACGGGCGCGGAGCGCGCCGCCGCGGCGGTGGACGGGCGCGCGCCGCCGCGATGATGATGATGATGAAGTCGCGGTCGGGTCGGCGCGTCGCCGCCGAGCGCGAGCGCGCGCGCGACGGACGCCATGCGCGCGCGGTCGGTCACGAGCGCGCGGTCGCGCCCGAGCGCGGAGAGGAACGCGCGCTCGTCCGTGGAGAGGTTCACGCCGCCGCCGCGGTCGTCGTCGTTCGCGGCGTGCGCCCCGCCGTACGCGGACAGGCGTTCCATCTGTCGAGGGGAACAAAACGATGAAACGTGAGCGGGACGAATTCGAACGCGACGCGACGAGGGAGGGGGAGGAGTAGGAGGGCCGCCGCGCACCTCGGGGCGTCCGAGCGGCCTATCGATCGACGCGCGGATGCCGCCGTTCGTGTCCGGGTCGCCCCAGAACTCGTGCGTCTCCCGGACCGCGCTGCCCCATATCACGTGGTCCGCGAAGTCGCGCATCGTCGGCTCGTCGCTCGCCATCGCGATCGATCGCCGCCGCGTCGCGGAGCGGAGCCACGACGATTCGAAATGCTGTGGGCACCCGACGCGGCCGCGAGGTCGCGTCCGCGGCGCGACCGAGTCTCGTCGCGCGCGTCGCGAGCGCTCTCCTTCGTCTACTTCTTCTTCTTCTGACTACCGCGACGACGCGCTCGCGCTCGGCATCGTTTCTGATGTGGGACGGCGCGCCTTCGTTCCGCGGCGTGCGACGTGCAGTGACTTCACGCGAGGACGCGCACAGCTGGCAGTTTCCTCGACCCGCGCGAACAGTGGATTTTTTGCGAACAACGACACACCTCAACGACACGCGCCCCCCCCCCCGCTCGCCTCCTCCCCCCTCTCCCCGATGTCCCACCAGGCGCCGCACTACGACACCGCCGCGATCGGCAAACTGTGGCAGCCGATCCCTAAGACGTCCTGGGGCAGAGGCATCGCGATCGTCGCCGCGGCGTGGCTCGGCGGCGTCGCGTCCGCGATAGCCCTCGGACGCGCGGCGCTCCCTCCCTCGTCGTCGTCGACGCGCGACGACGCGCCCGCCGCCTCCGCCTCCGCGCCCGCCGCCGCCGCCTCCGCGCCCGCCGCCGCCGCCGCGCCCGCGCCGCGCGCGACGAAAGGCGCGGAGGCGGTGTGGCGCGGGACGTTCGACCCCGGGTCGAACCCGAGGGTGACGCGCCAGAGCGTCGCGCCGGAGCGGTCCTACTACGACACCGTGCGCGGCGGCGAAAACGCGCCGTCGACGCTGTGGCAAGAGACGCTGAGGAGTGAGGAGATGAACAAGTACAACTTTCACGCGCTCTCGCGGGACGGGAAGACGATCCAGAAGGAAGACCTGCTTAGAGCCTTCGGACAGGTGGACGTGGACGCGCTCGCGAAGGACGCGGACACGGACGGAGACGGTCGGATATCCCACGCGGACTGGCTCAGGATGAAGTCCAAGCTCGCGGAGGCGTACGAGCGCGCCGGAAAGTGATGAGAAGACGCGCGATTCGAGTGCGACGACGAGAACGACGAGAACGACGACGACTGACTGCGGTGCGACGACGAGAGACCTCTTCTTTCCTCGTGCGACACTACTTTTGTATGACACTTTTGCGCGACCGACGCTTTCGCGCAACGCGACGCGACGCGACGCTCTGCGAACGACGCCGCGCCCGCGCCCGCGCGTCCAACCTACAAATCCGGCGCCACCGCGCGCTCCACGTTCCGAAACTGCAACACCGGCTCCTCGAGGTCGCGGTACTCCCTCACCCGCCCTTCGCTCGCGCTCGTCACCCGCCGCGTCCACTCCGCGTCCAAAGCGCGCGCGTCCGACTGCGTGGGTGAAGCGATCGGTCAGTCGAACGTCTTACCGGTCAAACGTTGAAAGGGAAGCGCGGGTGAAGAGTGACGACGGGAAAAGTCCTTAAGGAACGGCGTGCACCCCGCGAACGGGGTCGTATGGGAAGCAGTCTCACCATCGCGTCGTGAATGCGAACGAGCAACCACGCGTCTAACGCCGCGTACCGCCGGACGTCCGCCGACAGCGGCCGCCTCGCCCACAGCGTCCCGTCCCCGCCTAGGTCCGGCGCGAACGACGCTTTGACTTTCGACTTGAGGTGTTCGCTCACGCGCGAGATGGCGGCGGCGTCGGGCCCGGCGGCGGCGTCGACGACGCCGTCGAACGCCGCGAGCGCGTTGGCCTCCGCGGCGGCGCCTTTGCCTAAATGCCGCGCCGCGCATTTAGGGACGCCGGATAACAGCGCGACGGACTGCGACGCCGCGCGGCGTGCGGCGACGTCCGCGAGCTGGATGTCGAACACGCCGTTTAGGGCGATGCCGTGCTGGTGATACAGCGCGTCGGAGTCCACGCGGCAGTCGAACATCAGCTTCGTGATCGACGCGTCCTCGAGCACCGACTTGAGCGTAACGCTCCGATTCGTGGCGTTATTCTCATCCTTCTCCTCTCCGCCGCCGCCGCCGCCGCCGCGCTCGAAGCACGCCTCGGACCCGAGCGCTTGGACGTCGAACAAGTACACCCTCTCGTTCGGGACCGCGATCTGCACGAGCGTCACGCGGCCGATTCGCGACATGGCGACGCCTTCGCAGTCGACGGCGATGACTTTTCCCGGCGCGTTCGCGATGGCGCGCACCGCGCGATCGAGGGCCTCCCCGGGGGAGGATATCACGTCGCACGTGTCGTCCAGGATGTTCAGCACCGCGAGGCACCGCGGGCACTCCTCGACCGGGCGCGCGGCGAGGTCGCCGGAGTCGGACGCTGCCTTTTTCTTTCCCTTTTTCTTCTTCTTCCGCTTCCCCGGGGATCCCTTCACGCCGCCGCCGGTCTCGCGCTCCCACGCGTACGACCCGCCCGCGGCCGAGCCGCCGCCGCCTGTCGCGTAGACTCCAGGCGCGTCCGCGTCCGCGAACGACGCGGGGGGGATGTCCCCGTACGCGGACGACGGCCCCGACGCCGCCGCCGCCGCCGCGCACGTCGTTCCGCAGAATCGATTCTGATGATTCGCGTCGCCGCCGACGACCGCGGTCTTTCGCTTGTACGACGCCCCGCACGCGACGCACGCGAGTCGCGCTTTCTTTCCCATGATGGCGGTCGCGGCGGCGGCGACGCGCGCGGCGCGAAGTGAGCGGCGCGCGTCGTCGACCGCGGCCTCGACGCGAGAGGAGGCGGCGGCGGGGAGGGATAGAGATCGATTCCGTCTCTCGGCGGTGCCGAGCGCGAATCCGCCGACGAACGACGGCGACGGTGAACGACGACGCGCGCCGCCCGCGCACGATCTCGACGCGCGTTCTCCTCGCGGTGAGGAGGATTCCCCGCACGCCGCTTGAAGCGCGGCGGCGACGTGGAACGCGCCCGCGAGCGCGGACATCAGTGGCGGCCGTCGCGAGAGAGTCCGTAAACTTATTACGTACCAAGGTACCAGGGCGCAAGAGTGCACGCTCCACGGTTCAAGGTTACAGTATTCACCCACCCCTCGGTTTCAACATTGATCGCGTTCCGTTTCAACTTTCATCGACGTTCATCGACGGGTCTGTTCGCGCAAAATGGCGTTTTTTTTTATTTTTGCCGCGGCGCGATGATCGTTTTCGCGCGCTCTGCTCGCGGGCGGCCACACCACACGGCGCGATCACCGCGCGCGACCTCCAGGTGCGCCTCCCTTCCCATCACCCGCTCTCTGCGCATCGCGCGTGCGCGCGCCGCGGCGGGCGCGCCGCGCGATCGCGTTTTCGCGCGCGTCACCGCGCGATCGTGGCTCGCGCGTCGATTCCTCCCAGATCGTCGCCGATTCGTGGCCCCCCGTGGCCCGCGCGGCGATCGACGCTCGAATCCCGCTCGCGACGATCGTCTCTTCGCGCGAAACGAAACGTCGCGGACGGCGTCGCGCATCGCGCGCGGCGCGCGCGCGCGCGTCGACGGCGTCGGAATCGATCGTCGTGCTCTCGCGCGATCGAGCGATCGATCGCGCGGCGACCCGAGCTTCGATCGTCGACGACCGATCACCGCGACGACGGATCCATCCGATTAATATCTCCCAGCCGCCGCCGCCCGCCCGCCCGCCGTTCCTCTGCTGACTCAAAAAACCTTCCGATCAACAGACCTCCACCCGATAAAAATGGGCTACGACGATCGACGCGGCCCCTCCCGCGGCGGCGGCGGCGGCGGCGGCCGCCACAACCCGTACGGCCGCGACGATCGCGGCCGCGACGACTACGAAGAAGAAGTCATCGAGATCTCCACCAATCGCCTCTACGTCCACAACCTCTCCTGGCGCGTGTCCTGGCAAGACCTCAAGGACCACTTCCGCCAAGCCGGCGAGGTGATCCACGCGAAGATCATGACCGAAGGCCCCGGAGGAAGGAGCAAGGGCTGCGGCATCGTGGAGATGGGCACAGTCGACGAGGCGGCAAACGCCATCGAGATGCTCAACGACACGGACCTCAACGGCCGGAACATTCTCATCCGCGAGGACCGCGAGGATAACGGCGGAAGAGGCGGCGGCGGCGGCGGCGGCGGATTCCGCAGCGACCGCGGCTTCGCCGGCCGCGGCGGCGGCCCGGGCGACGGGGACAGGTGCAACAAGTGCGGCGGGATCGGTCACTGGGCGCGGGACTGCCCGTCGCGGATCGACGTCGGTCGCGGCGGCGGCGGCGGGCGGTTCAGGTCCGATCACGACGACCGCGGCCGGGACCACCGCGGCGAGCGCCGCGAGCGCCCGCCGCGCCGCGAGCCCGGCGCCGACGACACGTGCAACCGGTGCGGGAAGACCGGGCACTGGGCGAGGGATTGCCCGGAGCCGAGAAACGACGGCAAGACGGGCGCGCGCGGCCCGGGCGCCGACGACAAGTGCAACATCTGCGGCGAGCTCGGTCACTGGGCCAGGGACTGCCCTAACAAGGACAAGTTCCCCAAGCGCGGCGGCGGCGGCGGCGGCGGCGATGGCGGCGATGAAGGCGCTGGCGACGCCGCGGCGCTCGATAACGATCTCGAGGAGTACAAGGCGGCCGCGCCCGCCGGGGACGCGGATGGCGACGTCGCGATGGAGTGATGAGTGAACGCCGAGGCGGACGCTCTCGTCGACCGCGAGTACGAGTGTACATACACGAGACGTACGGCAGAGACGCGAAGCGAGAGGAGGGAGGAAAGAGGCGAGCGCGCGCGCGACGCATTCCAGTGAACAATTTTTAATAATCGAAACGCACACCGTTCGACAGTTACCATCGCATCCATCGTCGTTAAAAGATCGATCGCCTACTCGTACTAGTAGCTAGAGTCTACTACTAGACCACGCCGCGTGCGCTCTTCCCTAAGACGTCTTACACCGCGTCGCGGTCGCCTCGCACCCCGGGTACAGCTGCCTCACGTCGCTGAACGACTCGTCCGGAAAACACGCGCATCGCGTCTTCCGCCCCGTCCCCGTCCCGTCGTCCTCGCGCACCCCGAACGACACCTCTCGCCGCGGATGCGACGTCCCATCCGGACACCACACCTCGCCGCCCGCCTCCGCGCTCCACCTCGCGTCGCAGTTTGGAAACACCGCCGCCCTCGCCCGCGCCTCCTCCGCTTCTCTCTCCACGCGCTTCCGAACCGCCGACGCGGTCTTCACGAGCTCGAGCTTGTGCTTCGTCGGCGCGCCGTTCACGTCGTAGTAGAGCCCTCCCGCGTGCACGCCGACGCGGCGGTATCGATGCGCGTGCGTCTTTCCGTCGCGGTAAAACTTGAGCCAGTCGTCCACGACGACGCGCGCGCGCGGCTCGAGCCCGTCCAAGCCCGGTCGCAGGTTCTCGTCGTCGTCGAATTTCCCCGTCACGAACGCGCGCGTGGCGTCGCGCGCGACGAAGCCGTGGTAGCTCCCGCCCGGGCCGTAGTGCTTCGCGCCGGCGCCGACGTCGAAGACTTCCCCCGCGATCGCCAGCCACAGCTCGGCGCTCTTCTCGCCGTCCTTCACCTTCAGCTCGTCGTCGTACACGGGGACGTCCGTCGCGCCCGACGTCGCGCCCGGGGGGATCCCGCTCCACGGCTTCGCCATCCACCGCGCGAGGATCAGCGACAGCGCGAAGGAGACGGCGACGATGGCGAGGAAGACGCAGACGACTTCGGCGCCGCGCGCGGAGGAGGAGGACGACGACGACGATGGCCGCGGGCGCGGGCGGCGGGGAGGGCGCGGCGGCGACGCGTCCGCGGAGGCAGGCGGCGGCGGCGACGACGCGTCCGCGGCGGAAGACGAAGCGCTCGCGCGCTTCCGGACGCCCTCGGACATGACCCCGCGCGTCGTCGAAGTGCCGCGGCGCGGGGTCGTCCGAGGACGACGACGCGACGCGGCGCGGCGACGATACCAGTCTGCACTGCACTGGCGGAATTTTTGAACTCGTTTCTCGGAGCTGTCCGTCGGAATCCCCCCGAGGGGGGCGGCACAACGGACGCACAACGGAGCGCGCCGCGCGCGTCAACGGTCGGAATCGCACGCGCGAGCCGCGCGACGCGCGCATCGAACGCGCTCGAATCGACGCGGACGACCGGAACGGCGCGAAGACGCCGCGCGAGGACGCGAACGCGCGGCGAACCGCGGTACCCCCGCGGGACGGAATCTGGCACCGACGCCGCGCGAAGAAGACGACGGGAGTGATCGTTTCCGCGCGACGTCATCATCCATCATGAGCCACCTCGGGCTTCGACTGAAGCAGCGCTCGGTGCTGAGCTTCAACACGCCGTCGTCGCAGCAGGCGTCGAACGCGCAGAACGCCGCGAGCGGTGACCTCGCGCAAGCGCCGACGCCGGGGCTGAGCCGGGCGATGAGCGCGATGTGCGTCGAGCGCGGCGGCACGCAAGATTTGGACGCCGCTAACGCGAACGCGAACGCGAACGCGCCGCCGCCGGTCGCGGCCGCGCCGTCGCAGGGCGGCGGCGGCATGGACACCGCGTACATGTCGCAGGGCATGCCGATGTTCACCCCGGACTTCATCACCCCCGTCGACGCGCAGTTCGCGTGCGTGTACGACCCGAACGAGAAGGAAAACAAGGCGCGTTCTTACACTGGTTCCCATACGACCGCGTCGGCGTGGTGAACGCCGATCCTTAAGGACTTTGCCGGGCGATTCTCTCCGCCCATCCCTTGCGTTCAATCCCCGCCATCGACGCCTTTCAACTCCATCTGACGCCTTTGAACTCCACCCCGACAATCGCTCGTATGGAACGACCCTAAGGGCCCGCGGTCCCCCGCGCACCTGTCGCCGATGCGTTCGAAACGCCCCAGGTTCGGCCTCGAGCTCTCCCAGGACATGGGGTTGGGGTCGCTGTCGCAAGGCATGGGCGGGGGGTTATCGCAGTCGCAGCCCGGGCTCGGCGGATCGCTCGGCGCCGGCGGCGGATCGCTCGGCGGCGGCGGCGGTATGGCGTGCAGTCAGGAGTTTCTCGGGCGCGGCGGCGACTCCAACGGCGCCGCCGACGGACTGTTTCGCGTCCCTGCGCCGCGGGGCCCGATGAAAGGCCGCGGATCGTCCGGGGGCATCCCGCGCGCGGCGCCGTCGCCGCCGTGCCACCGGAACGCGTTCCTGCCGTCGCGCGATCAGCCCGCGGAGACGCCCGCGCACGCGCGCGTCGGCGGCGCGCCCACGCCGGCGGCGGCGCTCGCGACGATGTCGCGGCTGCGGACGGATTTCGTCGACGTCGGCGTCGTCGGCCGCGGCGGGTTTTGCAAGGTGTTTAAAGTCATCGGCCGTCTGGACGGCGCGCAGTACGCGGTGAAGCGCACGGAGAAGAAGTTGCAGACGGAGCGAGAGAAGCTCGAGGCGCTGCGGGAGGTGCAGGCGATGGCGAGCTTGGGCGGCGGCGGCGAGCACGTCGTTCGGTATTTCGGCGCGTGGATGGAGTACGACCACCTGTACATTCAGGTACGTCACGCGTGACTGTCCCCATACGACCGCGTTCGCGTTGTGAACTTCATTCCTTAAGGACTTTCTCTCCCGGCGCGCGTTTCTCTCCGCCCAGGGTCCCTCGCTGCTTTCAATCCCGACGCGCCTCGACGCCTTTCAACTCCTTCAACTGACGCCTTTCGACTCCGCCTCGAACGGCTCTCAGTTGGAACTGTGCGACGGGACGTTGTCCGAACTGAGCGCGCTCTCGAACGCCGCGACGGAAGCGTCGCTCGTGAGCGGCGTCCCGGTCCCGGCCGGGGTGAAGATCTTCGACGAGGCCGCGGTGATTGAGGTGTTAACGCACGTGTGTCGCGCGTTACGGTACGCGCACGCCAGAAACGTCGCGCACCTGGACGTGAAGCCGGACAACGTGTTGCACCGAAGGGGCGCGTATAAGCTCGCCGACTGGGGCCGCGCCGCGCCCGTGGACGGGATCGGGTGGACCAAGGGCGGCGGCAAGGGCGACGGCGGCGGGAGCGGGAGCGGTGGGAGCGGCGGCGGGAGCGGCGGGCGGCTGGTTTCCGTCGAGGAAGGCGACGCGAGATACCTCGCCCCGGAGCTTCTGCGGGGCGACTTTGGCGTCTCCGTCTCTTCCTCCTCTGGCGACGGGGGGTCGTCGGAGGACGCGTCGATGACGTCCTTATCCGGGCCGTTATCCGACTCGCAGTGCTCGCTCGGCGTCCCCGGCGACTCCTCCTTCGTGGGGTTAGACCGCGCGGACGTCTTCTCCCTGGGCGCGACCGCGTACGAGCTCGCGCGCCGCGCGCCGTTGCCGTCGAGCGGCGACGAGTACCAGGCGCTCCGACGCGGCGTCGGCGTGCGGCCGCTCGGGGAGGGATGGTCGGACGGGTTCCACGCGCTGATCTCGAGCATGATGCGCGAGGCGCCGGGGGAGCGGCCGAGCGCGAAGCGACTGATGCGCGAGGGGTTGCTGAGCGGCGACGGGGGGGGGGGCAGCGCGTGAGCGCGCGCGTGAGGCCCGGGGAGGGGAGCGAGAGGGAGAGAGGGAGGGAGAGTTCGACGAAACTCGCGTCAGACGACGACGGAAAATTCAAAAAGTCAACACGACGAATCGTCCCGTCCCGCGGAACACATCAATCACATCGCGACCATCGCGACCACGACGCGCGCGAGGGACGGCCGGCCGCGATGCCGTCGCCCGACGCGAAGGGCGATACCCCCGCGGGCGCGCTCGCCGAGGTGATGCGACCCGCGGACCCGCTCCTTTCGTGGCTCGAGCGCCTCCTCTCGACGGACGACGACGACGACGACGTCCGCGTCTCGTCCGTCGACGACTGCCTCGACGGCGTGCTCCTCACGCGCGCGCTCGCGAAGCTGGACGGCGAGCCCGTCACCGCGGGCGGGACGATCGGCGCGGGCGACGACACGCACGCCGCCGCCGCCGCCGCGATGCCGGGGCTCCACGCGTCGTTATCCCACGCCGGGCTCGCGCGCAGGTGCGCGCCGCACGTCGTCGCGATGTCGCGCGGGGAAGCCGCGGGCGCGCACGATCTGCTGCGCGCGGTGTACAAGCACTATCTCGCGAACCACGCGCATCGCATCCACGTCGCGAGCGCGAAGAAGGCGGAGGAGAAGGAGAAGAAGAAGGCCGCGGACGAGAGAGAAGAGGCGCACGACATCGCGAGCGTGAGGCTGAAGGACCCGGAGACGCGATGGCACGCCGCGGGCGCCGCCGCGAGGCTCAGCGTGGACTTCGATTCCGACGGCGACGACGACGACGCCCCCGTCGACGCGCCCGCGACGGGCGACGGCCCCGAACCGAGCGCGACGCCGCGCCCCACCGCGGACAGGGCCTCCCGCAGAGCCGCGGCCGCGAGGCTGGCGCTCATGGAAGGCCCGCCGTTGGACCCGGACGCGTACGTGTCCGAGCCGCACTGGGCGCCGCCGCCGGCGCGCGTCGACAGCGCGAGATACGGCGGCGCCGCCGCGTCCGTCGCGGCGTTCGGCGGCGGCGACCGCGATGGCGGCGCCGGCGCCGCGACGAAGCTCATCGGGAAGGTGGAGATCGACGTCGACGTCACCGAGGAGGGCGAGGGACCGGTACGCGCGGAGGAGGAGAGTCCGAGCGCGGGGACGGGGGCTGGGGGGGGGTTCGTGGCGAGCCCGGCGGAGCGACGCGCCGCCGCCGCCGCCGCCAAATCCGCCGTCCCCGACGACGACGACAAAGAGAACGACGAGGCCACGCCGTCGTTGTACCCTTCGATCAACCCGCACGGCACGCACGCGTTCGCGCTCGAGCTCGAGGGGAATAAACGCCTGGACCGAGCGACGGCGGCGGCGCGAAGCGCGAAGATATCCGCGAAGCACGCGACGAGCGACGCGAATTCGCTCGCGTCGTCGCGCGAGACGTCGCGAGCGGCGAGCGTCCGCGCGTCGCTGAATCGCTCCGAGGCGTCGAGCGCGTTCCCGCCGCTGCCGCCGCGGGAGGACGACGACTCCGAGGACGAGGACGCGAGGGCGTCGCGGACGCTGAAGGAGGAGCGCGCCCAGATGGCCATCTTCGAGGCGCGTATTCCTTACACTGGTCCCCATACGACCGCGTCGGCGCGGTGAACGCCGATCCTTAAGGACTTTTCCCGGCGATTCTCTCCGCTCACGCCTCGGTTTCAATCCCCACCCTCGACGCCTTTCAACTCCGACTGACGCCTTTCAACTCCACCCCGACATCATCTTCAAGGCGGCGGCGGCGCGGCTCGAGGCTGAGGGCGAGCGTCGACTGGACGTCGTCGAGGACGCGAGCCGACGCGCGAAAGAGGCTGCGGAGGCGTCGTCCGCGATCGCGTCCACCGCGGCGTCGATGGAGCCCTCGCCCGCGCAGTCCCCCGCGCGTCTCCCCCGCGCGTCCCGGGGAGCCGCCGCCGGCGCCGCCGCCGCGTCGCGTTCGATGGACTTTTCGGCGGCGCGGTCGAGCGGCGAGTCGTCGTCTTCGCGCGCCGCGGGCGGTCCCCCGAGCGGGGACACGACGATCTCGAGCATGAACTTTGGCGGGTCGTCGTCCTGGCGCGGCGGGAAACCCCTCGCGGGCGACTCCGTCATCCCCGAGCACGCGCGGCGGAGCGTACTCGATCGACTCTCGACGCTCCCGATCGAGGCGGACGACGACGACGAAGACGAAGACGTCGACGCCGACGCCGAAGCGCGTCTGAACCGCGAGGCGGCGTCGTTGCGCCAGAGCATCGCGTCCCTTCGCGCGTCGCTGACCATCTCCGAGTCTGGAACGTCGACGCGGCGAATGGAGACGGACGACGAGGCGGAGGCGGCGGACGACGCCGTCGCGGAGGAGTGGGAGCGCGCGGGTCGATTGAGCATGCGATCGGACGAGGGCGAGTCGACCGCGACCGCGACCGCGACCGCGACCGCGGCGGCGAGCCCCGGCGGCGGCGGCGGGAAGAAGAGCGTCGCCGCGGCGGCGCAGGAAGCCGCGCTCCTCGCCGCGGCGGAGGCGGAAGCGAAGGACGCGGAGGAAGCGATGCTCCCGTCGCCGCCGTCGGAGTCCCCGGAGCCGAGCCCGGCGCCGTCGTTTCGACGCGTCAGAGGAGGCGACGCCGCGGCGAGGATGGCGCTCGACGCGAAGCGGCGGCAAATCGAGAGCGAAAAGACGGCGAAGGAGAAGGCGCGCGGGGAACAGAGGCAGGCTGCGGGCAGAGAGGCGCTGATGCAGTTCTTCGCGAGTAAGGGCGGTCTGGACGTGTCGCCCGGACGTAAGAAGCGGACGCCGACGAAGCCCACGGTGGTCGGGAAGGAATTGCTGCTGAACAGACGCCGCGGCGGGGACTCGTGTCCCTCCCCGGCGAGACAGTCCGCGGAGAAGAAGCGAGACGAGGAGACGAAGTGGATCGCGAAACAAGCCGCGGAAGCGGCGGCGAACGCGAAGCGCGCCGCGGAGGAAGCCGCGGCGGCGGCGCAGCTCGCGGAAGACCTCGCGGCGGCCGCCGCGGAGGCGGAAGAAAAGGAAAAGGAGACGCCGACGACGCCGACGCCAACGAAAAAATCTACGTCGACGCGCGTCGAACCCCCGCTGCCGCGCGTGGCGACGTACGACGTCGAAAAAGAACGCGAGGCGAGAGCCCTCGCGGCTGCGGAGCGCGCGACCAAAGACGCCGCGGACGCGCAAGACGCGGTCGTCCGCGCCGCGGAGGCGGCGGCGCGCGCCGCCGCCTTCGCCGCCGCGCCCGGCCCGAGACCCATCCCGGCGATCCCGCCGCCGCCGCTGCCGCGCGCGGCGACGCTCACGCCCGAACGCGCGCGAGACGCGAAGGCTGCGGCCGCGGCGGAGCGCGCCGCGCGTGAACGCGCGGCGCTCGCGGAGGAAGCGCTCGTCCGAGAAGAGTCGCGCGCGCTGTTGGAAGCCCCGGGGCTGGACCCGACCCCGGCGGCGGGCGCGTCGTCGCCGTCGCCGCCGCCGCGCGTCGCGAGGCTCGGCGATCCGAACCTCGCGCGCGAGGAGAAGGCGAAGGCTGCGGCGGCGCGCGCGGAGCGGCTCCAGCGCGCCGCGGAGGCGGCGATCGCGGAGGCTGCCGCCGCGGCGGCGGAGGCGGCGGCGTTTCTGAACGCCCCGGGGCCGGACCCGATTCCGTTGCGCGTCGCGCCGAGGTCGCTGCCGCGCGTCGCGCGCTCGCCCGAGGAGATCGCGGCAGAGGAGGACGCCAAGGCGAGAAGAGAAGAAGCCGCGCTGAGAGCGGCGGCGGACGCCGCGTTCGCCGCCGCCGCCGCGGACGCGGAGGCCGCGATGAACGCCGCGGCGCGAGAAGCGGAAGCCGCCGACGCGGAAGCCGCCGGCTCCGGCTCGCCGCCGCCCGCGTTCCCGGAGTGGTTCGGCGCGGTCGACGACGACGAGCTGCTCGTGGACGACGACGACGCCGCGGGTGCGGGAACCGCCGCCGTCGTGGACGGGTTCGAATCCGGGGCGTCGAACCTCCTCGTGCCGTCCGACGCCGCGCGCGAGCTCGAGGAACGCGACGCGTGGGAGGAACGCCGACGGACAGAGTGGGAGCGGCAGGACGCCGAGCAGCGCGAGCGCGAGGCGCGGGAGAAGGCGCGCGCGGAAGCGTTCAAGGGCCTGAAGGGCGAGGCGATGTGGATCGACGTCGGCGGGTGGAAGAGAGACGCCGACGCGGGGGTGCCGAGCGGGGCGTGGGGCCGGGACGCGTTGTCCAAGAGCGGCGGCGTGGAGCCGACGCTGGGACACGACGCGGTGACGTCGCGCTCGTTGGCCGCCGCCGCCGCGGAGCGGATGGCGAGGGCGAGCGAGGGCGCCGCGGCGATCGACGCGCGACGCGCGAGGAGCGCGCGGGCTGGCGGGTGCGTTCTGTACACCGGTCCCCATACGACCCCGCACGCGTTGTGCTCGCCGATCCTTAAGGACTTTTCCCGGCGCATCTCTCCGCCCACCCCTTCCTGTCAATCCCCGCCATCGACGCCTTTCAACTCCACCCCAGAGGAAGAATGTCGGACGGTCGTCGGAAAACGTCCGACGCCGCCGTCGTCCCGGCGTATCGCCCGTCGCAACGACTGTCGAACAAGAAGATCGTCCGCAACGCGCTGTCGCACGTGTGCATGGCTGGCGCGGCGATGCAAAAAGAACGCGACGACGCGCTCGCGGCGTTGGACGCGGTCCCCGCGGAAGTCGCCGTCGTCTTCGTCGTGCTCTTCCGGGAAAACACGTTCCCGTTGAAATTTCGCGCGTTGTACGCGTTGACGCGAGATCCGGAGAACGAAACCGTGGAGCGACTGGTGAAGATTCACGGCAAGAGCGGCCCTAACGTGGTGCCGCTGTATAACGTGGACAGCACGATGAAGTACGACAGCGGCACGAGGGAGTTTAAGGCGCTGAACACGAGCGCTCTGACGCCTTTGACGACGGCGATCACCCTGGCGAGGACCGCGGCGAGGTGAAAAATTAAGTCTAATTATGTCAACGCGGAGTATAGACTACGTATATGTACGCTATGTAGTAACGCCCACCTCGCCGTTCGTCGCTCGACGCGTCGATCTCTCCTCAGTCGACGGAGCCTCCGTCCACGGCGGCGATCTTCTCCCTCTCCTCGAGCCGCGCCTCCAGCGCCTTTATCTTCTTTATGTAGTCCTTTTCCTTTTCTTCGTCGTCGTCCTCGAAAAACAACAGCGGAAACATCCCCAACAGGCATCCGATCGAGATGCCGATCACCGCGCCGAGCATCCGCATCAACCGCGGCCCGCTCTTCGCCGCCTGCGCCGCGGTCAACTCCGGGTTCTTGAACCCCCACCGCTCGGCCATGAGCTCGATCTTGGACGAGAAGCCGACGCCGGCGATGTCGCTGAGCAAGTTCCCGAGCCCCGCGGCTGCCATCGTGGACAACGCGAACGTCGCGCCGACTTTCAGCTCGATGTACTCCCCCGCGGTGATCATCAGCGCGTTATCCATGAACCCGAACCCGATGAACGGGATGCACTGCGCGGTGAATATCGCGAAGAGCACCTTGTTATCGATCACGACGTCGCCTTTCCCCGCCGCGCGCATCATCGCGGCTTCCAGCCCCGGCCCGCGTCGTTGCGCTCGGTCGAACACGCGCCCGAGGAGGATGTTGAACTCGCTCCTCGAGAGGACGCCGCTCTTGTCTATGTCCGCTTGCTTCCACAGCGCGTTGACTTCCTCCGTGGTCATGCGCTTGGTCTTACCCCCGCGCGCGGCGAAGACGAGGCCTTCTAATCGATCCGTCGGGCACGCCGCGTCTCCGGGGGAGACGCCTCCTCCTCCTCCTCCTCCTCCTCCTCCTTCTCCCGCGGCGTTGGACTCGTGCGCGACGAGCGCTTCTAACATCGCGGTTCTCTGCGCGTCCGAGAGCTGCTTGATGAGCTCGCTCGCCGCGGGGAGCTCGCTCGGGATGGACGCCGCGGCGCCGGGGGAGGAGGACATCCCGCGTGACGTCGACGTCGTCGAGTCCCGACCCCTCGCTCCTCCCCCCGCGCGCGCCCCTCGCGTCGTCGCGCCGACGACGAGCCCGCGCCGGGACGCGGGCGACGCGCGCGATGCGACGATCGCTTCCGTCGCGGCCGACGCGGACGTGGACGCGACGGCGGCGACGCGTCCCCGAGCGGCGCGGCAGACCGCGCGCGCAGCCATGGCTCCCGCGAAGGAAAAATCGCCTCCGCTCGTCCGGCGAACGGGACGAAAGGACGCTCGGAGACCGCGCGTGCGTCCTCTGCCGCGCGTCGACGACGCGCGCGCGCGCGTCGACGAGGATACCCGCGGCTCCGAGAGATCGAGAGCCGCGCGCGCGAGGCGTTATGACCGGCACGCGCGCGCCGTCGACGCGACGCGCGGGTGATGAGGCGCGCGAGCCGTCCGAACTGGACGACGCGGCGCGTAGAGGTCACGAACGAAAACTGTCTGACAGCTGTGCAAAAAGAACGAGTCCAGTCGCGCGCGCGACCGCGTTCGTCGTCCGTCCATTCCATTCGTCTGTCGTCTGTATACACACGTCGAGCGCTACGTGCTCGTCTCTAATCACCCGCCCCTCCCGTCGCGTCGCCGTCGTCGCGCGCGCAGCGCACACGCCGACGGTTCGCGTCCCGTAATATGAACCGTCGCCATCATCGCGAATCCCCCGGCCCGTACACGCGCACCACGCCGTCGGTGAACCCGAGCGCGAAGGACGACGCGCCGAACGATTGACTCTCCGCGCCGAACCCAAACGCGGCGGCGCGCAGCGACACGATCTCGCCGTCATCGTTAACGCCATGCCCCCAGCCGTTACGCACGAACCCGTTCCCACCCCCCGCGGACGCCATCCCGTCCGAGATGTTCCACTCCGACGCTGTGGAGCCGTCGGTGACGTCAAACGCGGACACGACGTCGCCGTTGGCGGCGACGGCGAGCGACCCCGCGGACGTCGCGAACGCGGGCGCGAAGGACGCGTTGCTGCTGTGACTGTTCGTATTCTCCGTCACCCCCGCGACGTTTCGCATCGTCCGCACGGGCGCGTACCCCGCCCCGGACTGCCTCCACGCGGTGACGTCCCCAGTCGTGGACAACGTCGCGAACTCGCCGCCGGAGGTCTTCGCGACGCCGCACCAACGCGTGCCGGGCTCGCGCGACTGCAGCCGCGTCGGCCGCGACGACCCCGACCCGCCGTTCCGTAAGTCGAACACCTTCGCGCCGTTCGACGCGACGACCGCGACCGACGCGGGCGCGGCGCCGGCGACGTCGCCGTACCCGCCGAGCGCGAGCGAGGACACGCGCGCGGCGCCGGCGACGTGCAAGGTCATCACGGGCGCGCACCCGGCGTTGGAACGCGCCGCGCCGCCGACGGACCTCCGCGAGCTCCCTCTCGGGCCGACGCGCGTGTCCCACACGAACACGTCCCCGCCCTCGCCCGCGGCGACGACGATCGAGCTCCCTCTCTCCCCCGCGGCGACGCACGAGAGCTCCCGCGCGGCCGTCTCGTCGTCGTCGCCGTCGCCGCGGCACGACAGCCCGCCGAGCTCGCGGCCGTTGCTCAGGTCGACGCGCGCGATGCCCTCCGCGGCGTCCGCGGGGACGAGGTACGCCTCCGTCCCCGCGGACGCCGCGTCGACGATCCCGCACTTGGGCCCGCGGACCATCCCCGCGGCGCGGCGCGCGCCGGCTTCGAACAGCCGGACGCAACCATCCGAGGTGGCGGTCATGAGCATCCTCGGCGCGGCGTCGGACGCGTCGACGGCGCCGCCGAGGAAGTGGAGCGCGACCACCTCCTTCTTCAGCTCGATCGTTTGAATCGGGCGCTTGTACGTCGCAACGAGGGCGGCGCCGGTGGCGGGCGGCGCCTCCGCGGGCTCCGGGACGAGCGCGGGCGCGGCGGCGACGTCCTGGGCCGTCGCCGTCGCCGTCACCGTCACCGTCGCCGCCGCCGTCGCCGCCGGGGCCTGGACCTTGACCTCCGCGCCCGCCGCGGGCGGCGGCGCCGCGTTCTCGGGGACGCCGTAGCCCATGTCCATGACGATGAACCCGTCCGCGTCCATCGCGGGGCCTCCCGCCGCCGCCGCCGCCGCCGAAGACGTGTAGACGCTCCCGCCGCCCGCGGCGACGGGCGTGAGCGGCAAAAACTCGCCGCCGCCGCTCTCGCCGCCGCCGCCGCCGCCCCCCGCCGCATACGCCGCCGCGCGCGAGATGGCGTCCACGGCGCTCTTCGGCGACGCCCCCTCGGGCGCGCGCAGCATAATCGACGCGTAATCGAACGGCGCGAGCGGCGGCACGTTGCCCTCGCCCTCGAGCGTCGTGCGCATGAGATGCCGCGAGAGCTCCGCGGCGCGCAGAGCGAGCTCCGACTCTTCCCGCTGCAACTCCCGGAGTCTCCGCGCGACGGCGTCGGACTCCGCGTTCTTCTGCTGGATCGCGCGTCGGCACGCCAGGAGCTCGTCCTCGAGCGCTTTCGACGTCGTCGTCGTCGCGACCGGCGCGGGGGGTTTCGGGGCGTTCTGGTACGACGCCGCGACGCGAGCGGCCCAGCCAGACGGCGCCGGCGCCGGCGCGGGCGCCGGCGCGGCGGCGGGGACGCCGGAGGGTTGACCCGCGGGCCCGTGACCGCTCGCGCTACCACTCGCGCTCACCCCGTGCGTCACCGCCTTCACCGCGGCGGCGGCCATCTCCGTGAGTTTCCTTCTCGTCTCCTCCTCCTCCTTCATCATCGCGCGCTGCGCCGCCTGCTGCGCCGCCATCTGTCGTTGAAGCTCCTCGCGCATTCGAAATTGCTCCGACGCCGCCGCCTCGGCTTGCTTCCGCGCCTGATCCGCCGCGAGCTTCATCTGCCACGACTGCTGCTCCAACGCCTCTCTCTGCGCCGCGAGCTCGCGCTCTTGCATCTCGAGCTTCTTCTGCAACATGCTCGTCTGCTGATGCACGACGTAGGACTCCTCCGCGGCTCTGTGCGAGTGCTCGTGCGTCATGTGCGCGACGCGTTCCATCATGTTCGTGAGCTGCGTCGCTTGCTGCTCGTGCCACGCCTTGGAGTTCCGCGCCCACTGCGGGGTCTGACCGTTCGGCGTTTGCGATCGTTTCGCGTTGAACGGGGTCGCAGCACCGACGCCGGCGCCGGCGGCGGTAGGGGGGTGCGGGAGCGGCGATCGCGTCGAGGGCGTCGGGGCCGCGAGGGGAGACGCCGCCGCATCCGCGGCGGCGGGCGCCGGCGCCGGTTCGATCGTGTCGACGTACGCCGCGGCGACCGCGGCCGCGCGCACGCCGTCCTCGACGACCGCCGCTTCCTGGACGATGACCTCATCGACCTCCGGCGCGGGCGCGGGCGCGGGCTCGACTTCGACCGGGGGCGCTTCCGATGTCTCCTCCTCCTCCGCGGGCGCGGCGGCGGCGGCGGCGGGGGCGGCGGCATCCTCCGCCTCCTCCTCCTCCTCCTCCGCCCACGACTCCTCCATCGCCCTGAGCGCGACCGTCGCGGCGTCCAGGGCCATCGTCGGCGTCGGCAGATCCCTCGGCGCGAGGCCGAGATCGTGCCCTCCCGTGAGCTCCGCCATCGCGGGCGAGTTCCACTCCGCGACAGCCGCCGGCGCCGCCGCCGGCGCCGGGGAAAACGTCGCCGTCGCCGGCGCCGGCGCCGCCGGCGCCTCGCCTTCATCCTTCGCGTCTTCCTCGACGGGCGCGTCGACGAGAGGCTCAGCCTCGGGCATCGTCATCGCCATCGTCCGCGGCGGCGGCGGCGGCATCAGCGTCGCGTCGTCCGGTTCCTCCGCGACTTCTTCTTCGTCGACTTCGTCCGGCTCGTCGTCGTCGTCGTCGTCGTCGTCGTGACTGGTTCCCATACGACCGCGCTCGCGTGGTGAACGCCGTTCCTTAAGGACTTTCGCCGCGGAGAACGGCGTGATGCTCCCAGGCGCCATCGTCTCTCTTCGCTCCGCGGCGGCGGCGGCGGCGGCGTCGCCGTCGCGGCGGCGCGCGCTCGGCGGCGTGAGCCTCGCCTCCGTCGCGGGGACGAACGCTCCGAGCGGAGACGTCACGTCGACCAGGGTGTTTTCGTTGTGCGCGAGCTCCGCCATCGGCGAGCGCGGAAGATTCTGCGCCGGGGACAGCGGGGGCAGATTCTTCCCCGGGGTGTAGGAACTCGGGCGCGGGTACGCGCCGCGGACGACGCGCGACGGCGTCCCGAGCTTGCTTCCCCCCGGCGTCCTCGACGCGAACTTCGGGCGCGCGCTTCGTCCCGGGGTCATCGCCGCGGACGCGGGCGAGCGCGCGTCGAGCTTGCGCGACGTCGGTCCCGTTCGCGGGGAGAGATGATGCGCGGGGGCGCCGACGTTTTCTTTCGCGCCGGGACCGCGCCACGCCGGGCGCGCGGAACCGGGCGTCTTCCCGGGAGTTCGGAACGACGGCGCGGCCGCGACGGGGGCGATGTCGGTCTCGACGCCCGCGTTGGACGGCGCGCCCGCGATGGGGGGGCTGTTCCTCGCGCTGCGGCGCGGCGCGCCGCGCGTCGCCATCTCGCCGGACGACGACGACGACGACGGACGAGATGCGATGGACGCTCTCCGCGACGCGAGGACGACGCGCGGGCGACGCGAGGGCCGCGGCGTGCGATGCGACGAACGACGCGACGCGCGCGGGGTTCGGGGACGAACGGTCCCGTGTGGCTCGACGCGGGTGCGGCGGCGCGCGCGGGGACGGTGTGCGACCGCGCGCGGCGCCCACGCTTCGGTCCCCTCCGGCCTCGGAACTCGCGACGGTTACAAACGGTCACAAAAATTCGCTCGTCAGAACCTCAGATGTTATTTTTCACGCTTGTCATCATCGCCGATAGCGCGATGGCCCTCTCTCTCTCATCCCCCTCTTCTCTTCTTCTCCCTCCGATCAGCGCGCGTTCCCCTCGAGCTCGTCGTCGAGGTCGAAATCGAACTCGGTCGCGGCGTTCACCTTGAGCGGCTCCACGGCCACCTTGGCGATCGGCGCGCCGTACTGAGGGTCGTTCCATACGAGCGAACGTCGGAGTGGAGTTGAAAGGCGTCAGTTGGAGTTGAAAGGCGTCGAGGTGTGTCGGGATTGAAAGCGAGGGCTGGGCGGACAGACACGCCGGGAAAAGTCCTTAAGGATCGGCGTTCACCACGCCGACGCGGCCGTATGGGAACCAGTGTACGGGACGCGCCTGCCCCGCGAGCCGCTCCGCGATGATCCGCCGAACGTCCTTCTCCACGCTCGCGAGCATCGCGGGGTTCTCCCGCAGCTTCTCCATCGTCTTCTCCCTGCCCTGCCCGAGCTGCTCGTCGTTGTAGGAGTACCACGCGCCGCGCTTGTCAACGACGCCCATGTTGTCCGCGGCGTCCAGGGTGCACCCCATGGGGTCGATGCCGCGGCCGAAGAGCATGTCAAACTCGGCGACTTTGTACGGCGGCGCGACCTTGTTCTTCGCCACCTTCACCTTGACCCTGGTCCCGAGGTCGTCCTCCCCGGACTTGCCTTTGATGACTTCTTTGCGTCGGATGTCGAGGCGCACGGAGGCGTAGAACTTGAGCGCGTTCCCGCCCGTGGTGATCTCGGGGTTGCCGTAGATGACCCCGACCTTCGATCGGAGTTGGTTGAGGAAGATGATCGTCACCCCCGCCTTCGCTGCGTTGACGTTGATCTTCCGGAGCGCCTGCGACATCAGCCGCGCGTGCGCGCCCACCTGGACCATCCCAATCTCGCCCTCGATCTCGCTCCTTGGGACGAGCGCGGCGACGGAGTCGACGACGATCAGGTCGATCCCGCCCGATCGCACGAGCGCGTCGACCACTTCGAGCCCCATCTCCCCCGTCTCCGGTTGGCACACTATGACCTCGTTCACCTTGACGCCCAACCTCGCGGAGTACTCCGGGTCGAACGCGTGCTCCGCGTCGATGAGCGCGACGTTGCCGCCGAACTTTTGCATCTCCGCCATGGCGTGCAGCGCGAGCGTTGTTTTGCCGCTGGACTCGGGGCCGTACACCTCGACGATTCGCCCGCGGGGCAAGCCGCCGCCGAGGGCGATGTCCAAGGTCATCGCGCCGGAGGGGAACGTCGCCACCTTGGCCTGCGACGCGGTACCGAGCTTCATGATGGAGCCCTTGCCGAAGTTGGCGTCGATCTCGCCGAGGACGCGGTCGAGCGCTCGCAGCTTCGCGTCTTTGACCTTTTGCGTCTCCGGGTCGAGCGTCTCCTCCTCCGCGGCCGCGGCGGGCTTCTCCGGCGCCGGCGCGGGCGTCTTCGACGCCGCCGCCTTTGACTTCGGCTTCGCCGCGGACTTCGCCGCCGCGGCTTTCTTCTTCGCGGCCGCGGAGGAGAACGACGCGGACTGCGACGCGAGCGAGGCGGCCGCGGGATCCGACGCGAGGAGGCGCTTCGCGAGGGAGTCGTCGACGCCGCCGTTGCCGAGGTTCGCGGCCGCGCGGGCCGGGGCGCGATATATCATCGCGCGGCGAGTGGTGGTGGTCGAGAGCGCGCGGGACGCGCGGAGGGGAGCCTGGGTAGGGGGAGGAGGGACGCGGGCGGCGTGAGATCGCGCCGGCGAGCGATCGCGCGCGGGAGTCGGCAAACAACGAGGAAAAAATAATGTGATTCAAGATCGGTTCGCGCGCGCGACGGCGCGCGAAGACGGAGAGGCGCGCGAGGCCGAGCGCGCACCTTCGAGGGGGCACCCTGGACGAACGCGCCGGTGAGGGAAAGGGAACTCATCATCCCGCGGTTTATGAGCGAGGCCGCTCGTCGCATGAAGCGCGAAGAAGTGACGCTCGCGACACGTCTCGGCGATATTATTTTGCGCGGCAAAAAAAGCATTTGCGTGGTATCGGCGTAACAACGATTGCTTCACCGATGAATTGAACGATGAAAACGACAGAAGTGAAAGGTGATGACGTGTTCTTCGATCGAAGAGTTTCATCGCGCGCACGGGTCAAAAGGCCACTGGACGACGACGCCGACGCCGAGACGCCGAGTCATCAGACGAGACGTTCTTCTCGAGGTTTTCGCGCGGCATTCTTCACGTCTCGCGCCGACCCGACGCGTCACGCGCTGCCTCGCGGCAACGCGCGCCTCCGTGCCTCCCACGCCACGCGCTCCTCCCCACGTCGCGCGGCGCGGCCCGGCGACATGGACTGGTCCCCGAAGAGCATGATGGAGGAGACGCTCCGATGCCTGCAAAAGTCCGAGACAGACCTCGGCGTGGACCTGCATCACGTCGCGGCGCAGCTGCGGAGCGCGATCGTCGCGTTCGATAAGCTGCACAACCGGTGCGAGCGGTGCCGAGGAAGGGGCGTCATGAAGTGCGTCCTGTGCGGCGGGAGGGGGGAGATCACGATACCGAACGTCGCGCGGTGTCATCGGTGTCTAGGGTGCACGCAAGAGCAGTGCACGCGGTGTTGCGGATACGGGCTCACGTGAGGTGCGTTCTATACACTGGTTCCCATACGACCGCGTTGGCGTGGTGAACGCCGATCCTTAAGGACTTTGCCCGGCGCGTCTCTCCGCCCACCGCTTGCTTTCAATCCCCGCCCTTGGCGCCTTTCAACTCAAACTGACGCCTATGAACTCCACCCCGATATTCGCTTGTATAGGACGGCCCTGAAGGACGGAGCTGGGAGGGGGGGGGGGGGAGGCGGATTGGATTCTTTGATGCACCGACCGTGCTGGGCGAACGAACGAACGAACGAACGAACGAAGACGACAGCGCGCTCGTGGCTCCGCGGCCGCGACGCGGCGCGTCCCTTCCTTCCTTCCTTCCTTCCTTCCTTCCTTCATCCAGCGTGTAAAAACAACAACGACGCTAGTACACGTGTAGTGTAAACTCGTCATCATCGACGCCCCCCGCTCGACGCGAACACCTCCTCGCTCGCTCACGCTCACGCTCACGCGGACGGCCTGTGGTAGTGGCACGTCACGAACGGCATCTTCGCCGTGACCGCGGTGCTCTTCCTCCCGCGCGTCTCGACCTGAAGCTCCGTCCCGGCTTTGGCGAGCGATTTCTTCACGTATCCCATCGCGATGTTCTCGCCGAGCACGGGGGAGAACCCGCCGGAGGTGACTTCGCCGACTTCCGCGCCGTCCACGTCGAGGATCTTGCTGCCGCCTCGCGCGGGCGCGCCCTTACCGACTTTCAAGCCGACGCGGCGCCTGTCGACGCCGTCCGCGAGCTGCTTTTTGATGACGTCGCCGCCGACGAAATCGCACGCGTCTCTGCGGGATTTTCCAATCGTCCACGTCAACCCAGCCTCGATCGGGCCGATGCTGTCGTTCAGGTCGTTGCCGTACAGACACAAGCCCGCTTCCAGGCGAAGCGAGTCGCGCGCGCCGAGGCCGCAGAGCCGCGCCGCAGGGTTCTCGAGCAGCTTCTTCGCGAGCGCGACGGTGTCCGTCTTCAAGAGCGAGATCTCGAATCCATCCTCCCCCGTGTACCCCGTCCTCGTCAGCCACACCGGCTTGCCGTCCACGGTGGCCTCCGTGAACATCCCAAAGTACAGCTTATCGAGGTCCAAGCCCGGGCACAGGGGCTGGAGCACGTCCACAGCCTTGGGGCCCTGGAACGCGAGCAGCGATCGATCGGAGTGGACGATGAACTCCACGTCCATGCCCTTCGCCTTGGCCTTGGCGAGGTGCGCGTTGATATGCGCCTGGTCCTTGGCCGAGCACGCGCCGTTCAACACGATGTAGATGTCCTCGTCGGTGACTTTCGTGACGACGGTGTCGTCGATGATTCCGCCGTGCTCGTTCGTGACGAGGGACAGAGTGCCCGTGCCGTTCTTCAGCGCTTTGATGTCGCCGACGACGAGAGACTCGGTAAACGCGACGGCGTCCTTCCCGCGGATGGACGAGCCGAGCATGTGGGAGACGTCGAACAGGGACGCGGCCGAGCGGCAGTGCTTCGTCGCTTCCATGATGGAGTCGGCGTACTGGATCGGCATGCTGTGCCCGGCGAACGGGACCTGGAGGAGGGAGAGGGGAGGGAGAGGGGGTAGGGAGGGAGGGAGGATGAACGAACGAACGAACGAACGCGGCATCGCGTTGTTTTTTTCGGAACGACAGCGGAGGCGACGACGAAGCGCGTCCGTTCGAAGGGACAACGCCGGGGGACGGGAGAGTCGACGAGAGGGAGGAAGCGACGCGCGGCGCGAACGACGCGATCTCCGCGCGATCGCGATATCGCGACGACGGTGGCGTCGCGTCGTCATCGCGATCGCGCGCGGGTCGCGCCGCGCCGAGGGCGTCGCGATCGACCGTCGAGCGCCATCCATCCGTCCGTCGATCGATCGAGGAGGTCGTCGAAGAGCGCGTCGCACCATCTTGGCGCCCATCTCGAGGTGGAAGTCGTACAGCGCCGTCTTCAGAAGCGACGCGTCGTCGGCCATGCCGCGCGCGAGCGGCGCGAGGACGGGCCTCGCGGCCGCGCCCGCGAAGGGCGCGGCGCGTCGTGCGAGTCGGGAGGCGGCGAGGCGAAGCATCGCGCGCGCGGGGGAGTGATGAACGCGAACGGAAGGATAACGCCGCTGCAGTGGGTGACGAGGCATCGCTCACGGCACCCCCCGAAGAGAAGCGCTTCGTCGGTCGGCCGCACGCGGCGCGGCATTCGCCGGCGCGCGGGGGCGACATGGCGACGCCCGTCGCCGCGACGCTCGCGTCGCGCGTCATCGCCCGACGCGCCGGCGTGTCATCGCGTCGACGCCGTCGCGGACGGCGACCTCTTCGCGCCGCCGTGGAGGACGCCGCGGCGTCGGACGCGAACGGGGCGAAAGAGAACGACGCGGCGGACGATGCGCGAAAACAACATCTCCCGCCTCCCGCGCGACGCACCCCGCGCGGGGTGCCGCCGCCCATCACCGTCGCGATGAAGGAGTGGGGCGCGATCGTCGCCGCGCTCGAGGCTGGCGAGCAGACGATCGTCTTCCGCAAGGGCGGGCTGAGGGACGGCGACGGCGGGTTCGAGCTCGTCGCCAGACACTTCGCGCTCTTCCCCACGGCGTATCATCCGAGCGAACGCATCACCGAGGCGACGCCGCTGCGAGAGAGAGCGCGAGCGTTCATGGAGACGCCGACGCCGGACATGAAGAACGGCGACGCCGTGCCGGTGACGCTCATCGCGGAGTGCACGGGCGCGTGGGTCACGAAGGACGCGAGCGTGTTTGAAAAACTCGCCGCGCATCACGCGTGGACCCCGGAGCTCCTCTCCGCGCGGATGAAGTGGAAGCCGGAGGCACCGATCACGATCCTCGAGCTCAGGGTGAAGAAACTCGCGGACGAGGACGCGGCGCTGACGACGCTGCCGCCGGATGTGGAGCGATACGGCGGGTGCAGGTCGTGGATAGATCTTCCGTACGCCATCAGGCGCGTCCTCTTTCTATCTCACACTGGTCCCCATACGACCGCGTCGGCGCGGTGAACGCCGTTCCTTAAGGACTTTATCTCCCGGCGGTCGCATCTCTCCGCCCAGGGTCCCTCGCTCACAATCCCGACGCACACACCTCGACGCCTTTCAACTCCAGTTCTGACGCCTTTCAACTCCACCCCGACGTCGCTTCGTATGGGCGACGACCCTCAGCGTCGACGCGGGGGAGCCGGTGATGAACGACGGCGATTTCGTGAAGGCGCGCGAGGACGTCAGGGACGCGCTGAAGGGGGTGGATAAGAGATGGGCGGACGCGTTCCTCAGGCCGGGGCGGGAGCTCCTGAGGGATCACTTCTCGCAGCGGGGGAAGTCGGAGGTGGGGGAGGAGGAGGAGGCGAAGGCGGCGGCGGAGGCGGACGCGCCGCCGCCGGGTCTGGGGTCCGACGCCGAGTAGCGATATCCTATAGTCGATCGACGAGTCCGCGCTAGCTAGACGGCGGGGTTTCGCGATATCATCGATCGCGCGGTAAAATTAATCGCCGGCGGTCGCGTGACGTGACCTACCTGAACTCGTCCTCGAGCTGCCTGAACGACGACACGAGGTCGTCCCCGAGCTCCGCGAGCTTCGCGACCACGCGCGCTTCCCCGTCTGCCGGGTCCTCAAACTTTTGCGACGCGAGTCGGCGCCGCAGATCCGACGTCCGCGACTTGACGACCGCGAAGGTTATCTTCGCGCCGCCGCCGCCGCCGCCGCCGCCGCCGCCGCCCTCCGCCGCGGCCGCGGCGGCGCGCTTGATCGCGGCCGTGGACAGGTCGTGGAACTTCACGATGTTGCGTAGCATCCCCGCGGACTTGTAGAACGGGCAGTACTTATCGTAGGCGGTGAAACTGTTCTGCTGAAGGAAATCTTCCTTGAGGAACCTCGCCGTCTCTAGGACGACCTTGTCCGTCTCCGCGAGCGAGTCCTTCCCGACGAGCTGCACGATCTCGTTGAGCTTGTCCTCTTTCTGTAAAACCTCCCGCGCTCTCGCGCGCAACGACAGGAACTCCGGGTCCGTCTTCTCATAGAACGGACGCAACGCGTTGTCGTACTTACTGTACGAGATCAACCAGTTCACGCTCGGAAAGTGCTTCCTCTGCGCGAGCTTCTTGTCCAGCCCCCAAAACACCTGGACGATCCCTAACGTCGCGCTCGTGACCGGGTCGCTGAAGTCGCCCCCGGGCGGAGACACCGCGCCGACGATCGTGACCGAGCCTTCGCGCTTCGGCGACCCCAAGCACCGAACCCGGCCGGCGCGCTCGTAAAACGACGCGAGCCTCGCGCCCAGGTACGCCGGGTATCCGGCGTCTGCCGGCATCTCCGCGAGACGCCCGGAGATCTCCCTGAGCGCTTCCGCCCATCTCGACGTGCTGTCCGCCATCATGCCGACGTTGAACCCTTGATCGCGGAAGTACTCTGCGATCGTGATGCCGGTGTATATCGACGCCTCTCTCGCGGCGACGGGCATGTTCGACGTGTTCGCCACGAGCGTCGTCCGTCTCGGGGCAGGGTGATTCCAAAATGTTCATCGGTCAGTTGAAACGGGGCACGATCAAATGTTGACACCGGCGCGATGGGTGGAAAACGTTCGCAGAGAACGCACCGCATGATGCTCTCCTCGGAGCCGTCCGGGAGCGTCAGCGTGAGCGACGGAAACTCGGCTAACACTTCCGCCATCTCGTTGCCGCGTTCGCCGCAGCCGACGTAGACGATGGCATCGCTGTTTGAATATTTCGATAACGCCTGGGAGATGACCGTTTTACCGCACCCGAACGCGCCCGGGATGGCGCACGTCCCGCCCAGCACGCTCGGAAACATGACGTCTAAAACCCTCTGCCCGGTCAACAGAGGGTGGTTCGCCATGAGTTTCTCCGCGACCGGTCGCGGCGTTCGCACCGGCCACTTCTGCAGCATCGTGTACGACTTCGTCACGCCGTCAACCTCGAGCTCGACGACCGCGTCGCGCAGGGTGTACGAGTCGCCGTGCTCGGCGAGCCACGAGATTTTCCCGCGGCCGCGGAGGCTCGGCGGCAGCATGACGCGGTGCGCGATGAGGTTGTTCTCCGGGACGACGCCGATGACGTCCCCGCCGGTGACGTAGTCGCCGACCTTGAATCCGCCGCCGCCGTCCCCTCCGGTCGCGGTCGGGCGATGAAACTCCCACGGTTTGTCGAGATCCACGCTCGGGACGTCGATCCCGCGCGGGATGAAGCAGTCCCCCGCGACTTTCGCGATCGTCCGCAGCGGGCGCTGTATCCCGTCGAAGATGTCGCCCATGACCCCCGGGCCGAGATCGACGCTGAGCGGCCGCCGCGATCGAAGCACGGGATCGCCGACGGTCAGCCCGGACGTCTCCTCGTAGCACTGTATCGTCGCGGAATCGCCCTCGAGACGAATGATCTCTCCCGCGAGCGCGTCGCCGCCGACGCGCACGAGCTCGTACATCGCCGCGCCGTACATGTTGTCCGCGACGACGACGGGGCCGGAGACTTTCTTCACCGCGCCGCATTCGGACTCCTTGTCGTCGCCGAATAGGCTCATCGCGGCGGCGGCGCGCGAGATCTGCGCCGCGGCGCGCTGCCGGTCCGTCCGAGCGTTACGGTTCGACGCTTTTTGCCGTTTCCCAGATTTTGACCGTTTGGTTTGAGGTCAACAACAGAACCGTCGCTCGCGCCCTCGCCGCCCGCGTCTTCATCACTCGAACGCGCGCCCTCCGCACGTTCGACGCCCTCATCATGTCGTTCGCGACGCCGAAGAACCTCCCACCGAAGAAGCGCCTCGAGAGCACGCTCGTGGGGCGCGACGACGGCGACGAGAACGCGTCCGCGGGCGCGAGGCTCGAGCGCGAAAAAGCGCGCATCCTCGGCGACGACGCGATGCGACGCGAGCGCAAAGCCGTGCGAATGGCGCGCAAGGCGAAGAAGCTCCCGGAGCCGGGGCCGCTCGTCGAGCGCACGCCCAAGCCGAACCGAGACAAGGACGGGAACTTCATCCGAAAGTTCGCGATGGTCAGCACGGTGAAGGGCCGAGGGCAGCCCATCGCGATCCCGACCGAGTCGCGATCGAAGCGCGCGCCGCGCGCGGCGGAGGAGATGCCGTGGACGAAGTACGCGGAGGCGGAGCGCAGGCGTAAGGCTGCCGCGGCGACGCGCGCGGCGGCGAGAGACGTCGTCTCCGGCGCGGTCGCGACTTTGGATAAGGAAGCGTCCGCGGGCGCGGGCGGCGCGGGCGCGGGCGCGGGCGCGGGCGACGCCGACGCCGACGCCGCCGACGCCGCGCCGTCCTCGCAACCCCGCGCGCACTTCGCCGGGGATGTCGCCGCGCCGACGCCGACGGAAGCGCCGACGAACGCACCGGCGGAGGAGCTCTCTGCTGAGCTCGCGCCGCGGACGACGGTCCCGACGCCGTACCGCAAGGTGAAAGTCCCCGTGTACTCCGTCGCGGGCAAGCGCGTGCCCGTGGACGTGTTGCTGCGCGAAAAAATTTTGGAAAGCTCCAAAGCGGGCTCGCACCAACGCGCGAAGGCGTTCAAGTCGCTCGCGGGCAGCGGCAAAGTCTCCGGCAAGGTCGACCGCGATGGCATCGCGAGGACGCTCGCGCGGTTTAACATCGACAGCACGGAGGAGATTTTGGACGGGATCATGTCGCGGTTCGACGTCGACGGCGCCGGGTACGTCGACTTGCCGAAATTTTGCAATTTCGTCCTCCCGGAAGATTTCCCGGCGGCGACCGCCCCCGCCCCCGGCGGCGCGGACGACCGCCCGGCGACGCCCTCCGCGGCCGCGGCGCTCCACGGGAAACCGCGCCCGCCGAAGGACGTCCAGCAGCTCACCGGCGAGGCGGGCACGGTCGAGAGAGTGGCGGCGCTACTCAAGGAGAAGATTCGCGAAAAGTTTCAAGGCAGCGGCGCTGCGTTGCGACGCGCGTTTCTCGGGCTCGACCTCAACGGCAACGGATCGCTGGACGCGCGCGAGTTTAAGCAGATGCTCGCCAACTTCCTCATCGTCCCGACCGAGGACGTCGTCGCGTCGCTGTTCAAACGGTGCGACCCGCTCGGCACCGGGCACGTCACCTTTGACGCGTTTATCAAGGAGTTCATCCCGATCGACGTCGCCGTCGGCATCGAGCCGGAGGACGAAGCGAAGATTCGCTCGGACGTCCACGCGGGGCTCGTCGCCCCCGGCGCCGCGCTCGCGGCCGCCGCGGCCGCGAACGGCGGGCACCTCAACTTTCAGCAATGTCGAGACGCGCTGGGCGAGGACGTGGACGCGAACTTGCTGCGGGGGTTGAAAGATCTCGCGGACGAGTCGCACGACGGTCGGATCGCCGCCGCCGCGCTCAAGGTAGCGGTGACGGAGTTCGAGTCCGGGGTCGCCGCGAGCGCGGTGACCGCGGCGAAGCGCGATTGGATCGACGGCTTTGGGAAGGGCGCGGCGAGGAAGGGCGGACGAGCGCCCGTCGCGGCGCCGCGGACGATGACCCCGGATGAGATTGAAAACCGTCTGCGGGATAAGCTCATGTCTCGCAGCAAAGGCGGCCCCGCGGAGCTTCGCAAGGCGTTCACGCACTTTGACAAGGACCGGAGCGGGTTTATTACGAAAACGCAGCTCGCTGAGGCGTTACACGACTTCCAGATGGCCCTCTCCCCCGCGGAACTCGACGCGCTCATCGCGCGGTACGACTCCACGGGGACGGGGCAAATCTCCAAGGCGGATTTCGTCGCGAGGCTCTTACCCGCGGACTACCCCACGGCTGCGAACCGCGCGGGGCAGAAAATCAACGGCAAGATCGCCGCGTTCTTCCAAGCCCTGACGAGCGCGCTCGCGGAGCTCGAGGAAGGAGGGAGCGTCTCGAGAAGCGCCGCGATCGAAGCCGCGAAGCGCGCGGCGAAGGACTCGTCGTTGGCGCTTCCCGCGTCCGCGGCGCATCACGCCGGGGACGTCGCGTCCGTGAACGGCCCGCACGCGGGAGATACGCACACCGCGCGCGTGAAGCCCGGGCCGTTCATCGCGGCGTTGCAAGTCGCCGCGAGAGCGGCGGAGGAGGGGGCGCTCGCGGACGCGCCGCCGCCGGCGACTGGGTTTGAAGTTCTCGGCGGAAACAACTACAAACCCCCGGCGATCACGAAAGCGCGGGCGTTCCCGAAGCGGCTGTCCGCGAACCAGCTCGAGAAGCTCGTGCAGGAGAAGATCTCCGGGAAGACCCCCGCGGGGTGGAGCGAGGCGAGGTACTACTCGCGTCTGTTGGACCCGACGAAGACTGGCGTCGTGACGTTTGACGCGTTTCGGAAAGCGCTCGACGGCGTCGGACTCGCGACAGTGTCGGACGAGGATGCGCGAGGGTTGTACGACAAATTCGCCGGCGACGGCGCGGCGGTCGGCGTCGATCTCTTCGCGAAGCACGGCGACGCCGCGTCCGCGACGTCTTCCAACCCCGCGGTCAGGGTGAACGTGAACGTGAAGGACGCGCAGCCGGTGCAAGGGTTTGTGAGGAAACTCGTCCCGAAAGTTTTCGTCGAAAGGCCAGAGGCGGAGACGCTCACGGCGTCGTTTAGAGCGAAAGACGCGAACGCCAAGGGCACGCTCAGCGTCGGGGCGATCCGGTCGGTTTTAAAGAAAGCAAACGTGGAGGTGGACGATGAGACGCTGCATCGCATGATGCGCCGGTGCGACTTGGGCGACGGCGAGGGCGAGGACATCGATTACGAGCGCTTCGCGAAGCTCGTGTCGAAACCGGAGCAGAAGAAGCTCAGGCCGGTGAGCCCGACGCCGAGGGTGAACCACGTCGTCATGGAAGAGTGGGAGTTGCGGCCGCCCGTCGCGGCGGCGGCGGAGGAGGCGGGGACGATGGAGAGGGTGGAAGCGTGGGTTCCGCCGCCGACGGCGGTGTTCGAAGTCGGGGGAGACGATGACGCGGCGGCGGCGGCGGCGGACGCGACGGCGGCGCCCGCGGTGAAGAAGGTCGGGTTGACCGCGTCCGGGCAGGTGTTCCAGGGCGATCGAAAGAAGTGAAGTTTGAGAAGAATATAGACTGCCTTAGTCGCGGGGGAGGGATTCGATCCCCGCCCCGTTGTCAATAATACTATGGATATCCAATCCATCAGCTATTTGAGCGCATTCATTCATCGCTTCACTTTCTTTCTTCCTATAGTCGCCGCCGCGGGCGCAGCCTGCGTCGGCATGATGTTCTCGAAGTCCTCGTCCATGTTCTCGAAGTCCTCGTCCTCGTCCTCGTCCTCCTCGTCCTCGTCCGCGGGATCGAACAGCTCGGTGCCGCCGGCGTAGTCGCAAATTTCCGGGTCGGGCTCGGGCTGCGGCTCCCTCGGCGGCGGCGCCGCTTTCGCCGCCGCTTTCGCGCCCTCGTCGACGTCGTTCTCGTCCTCGTCCGACGACACGATGCCGCAGTCTCGGAGGTTCTTCTTCGTGATCTTCGCGGTCGCTTCCGCGATGAACTTCATCCCTCTCGCGACTTTCGCTTTCCGCTCCTCTTCCTCGCGTCTGGCCTCCTCCTCCTTGCGTCTCTTTTGACGCTCCGCCGCCCACCGCTTCTTTTGCGAGGCGGAGTGCTTCTTGTGACATAAAACGCACAGCGTCCGGCCGTTATCGACCGTACACTCCCCACCGCCTTCGTACACGGCGACGACATGATCGAAGTGCCACGCCGAGCCCTCCCACGCGGTCATGACGAGTCTGTCCAGGAGCGCCTTGCCGCCTTTTTCCCCAAACGCCGGGCAATCCTCCAAAATCGCCTCGCGGCGCTTCGCCCGCGAACGCATCACCGCGATCCTCTTCACGCACGCGCTCGCGTCCCACCCGCACAGACGACACACCCCGCGCTCGCGCTCGTACAGCGCGCGTCTGAGCTTCGACGCGCTCTTCGTCTGCGAGTCGATATCGAAGCACTCGCGCGAGCAGTACAAGTCGGCTTTGCACGACAGCACCGCGGCTTTCGCCGTCGCGTGCGCGAGCGCCGGCGTCGCCTTTGTCGGCGCCGCCGCGGCCACCGCTACCACCGCCACCGCCGCCGGCGCCGCCCGCACTCGCATGCACTGCAAACACAGCGGCTCGCCGCTCCCGCTCACGGGCTCGAGCCGCTCCTCGACGTCCCTCCCCGTGCGCCCGCACCGAACCGCGACCGGCCGCCACTCCGCGTTCTCCGGCATCGGCTTTCGTTTCCCGTCGCCGTGCCGCGTCGTCGACTTCCCCTCGCCCGCCGCGCCGCCGCCGCCGCCGCCGCCGTTCTTACTCTCGATGCTCATCGCGCCGAGCGTGTCGTTCACCGGCGACCGCGTCGCGACGTGCGCCTGCGATAACCTGTTCTTATCCGCCGCGTACAGCGCGTCGATCTCCCTGACGAACGTCCACGCGGCGAGTATCGCGGGCGGGTCGTTTCGAAGCGACGGCGGTAACGCGTCGTCGTCGGCGGCGTCCGACACCGCGACCGCGGGAGGGACCCCGAGACGCGTGGATCCCTTGATCGCGTCGGCGATCACGGCAGCGATGCGGCGCACGTCGTTCTGCGCGAAGCTCTCGCCGCGCGGCGCGGAGCCGTCTTCGCGGGAGTGCAAGTGCACGCGTCCGGTGTGCGGGGAGAGTTCGAACCACAAATCGCTCGGCGGCGGAGGGAGCGCGAGCGCGGAATCGCCGCCGTCGTCGCCTTGACTCTGGATCTCTCCTTCTCCGTCCCTCTCCGGCCGCGTCTCCACGGGGTCTTCTAGGGTCCCCCAGGCGTACTCCATCCCCTCGCGCGCCTCCATCCCCTCGCCCACGCCGGGCTCCGGGAGCAGCGAGTCCGCGCCGATCGCGTCCGGTTTCAGCCCTTTCGCGTCCGCCGCCTCCTCCGCGTCGACGGCTTGCCGCACGCGGTTCAAACTCCTCTCGATCGAGTTCCACCGCGCGTCGTCGATCCTCGCGAGCGCGGACCCGTGCGCGACTAAGAAGTACACGTTCACGCTGCCCTTTTGACCGCGACGGTGGACCCTATCCTCCGCTTGCTCGACGTCCGCGGCGCTCTCGGGCAGCTCCGCGAAGACGACGACGGAGGCTTTTTGAAACTCCAACCCGGTCCCTCCGGCTTTGATGGAGATGAGCGCCGCGACGCACCGCTCGTCGTCCCTGAACCGATCCACCGCCTCGCCGCGCTCCGCGTTCGGGGTCGAGCCGTCGATGCGGACGAACGAAGGGAGAAAGCGCGCGTGCGCGCCCGCGGCGGCGGCGTCCGCGCCGGTCGCTGGGACCACGCCGAGGGGATCGAGCACCTCTCGCTGAATCGCGTCGAGGACTTCCTTGTGATGCGCGAAGATGACGACGCGGGCGCGCTCCGCCTCCGCGACGTCGTCCGCGTCCGCGCTCGCGTTCGCGTTCGCGTCGCGTCGCAGCCCGAGGTGCTCGCGGAGCCAGTCGCAGCACCCGGCGAGTTTTTGCAGCGCGACCGCCTGCGCTTTGGATTTTTTCGCTTCGCCACCGGCGGCGGCGCCGCGTCCGCCGCCGCGTCCGCCGGCGGCGCCGGAGCCGCTCCGTCGCTCCTCGTCCGGCGCCAACGGCTCGATCACGTCGAGCTCGTCCAATTCGTCCTCCTCCTCCTCCTCCTCTTCCTCTTCCTGACTCGCACCGTGCGTTTTCTTTCCCGCTCCTCCCGCTCTCTTGCCGTCTAAGCCCTCGCAGTCGATCAAGACAACCTGCCGTCGCTTCGGAGGCAAGTCGCCGACGACGTCTTTTTTCATTCGTCGAATCATCACCGCGTGACGCAACAAAACGTTCAGCTCGAACAGCCGCTCGCCCCCGGACACGCTCAGGTGACTCGTCCCGGAGTACGGGTTATCCGCGACCCACTGCCGCTCGCAGTACGTGCTCGCGAACTCGTGCTTATCCGACCCCAGGCACCCGGGTTGGAGCGCGTCCACCTGGTTGAACACGTCGTACGGTCGAGACAGCGACGGCGTCCCCGTCGCGAGCACCGCGCGTTTCGTGCTCCGAATGATGTCCAAGGTCACCTCCGTGTGATCGACTTCTCCCCTTCCCGTCGTCGTGCGCAGCGTGTGCGACTCGTCCACGACGACGGCGCCCCATCGCACGCTCCTGAACTTGTCTCGAAGCCTCGCGACCATGTGGTAGGAGGCGACGACGACGCGAGGCGCGAACGCGGCGGCGGCGGCGGTTTTCATCGCCTTGGTCGCTACCTGCGTCGCGAGCGCGGCAAAGTACGCGTCGTCGCCGTCGTCGTCGTCTCGCTCGTCGTCGTCAATTTCATCATCGTAACGCTGGAAACGTGTCGGTTTCGGTTCGTCGCCGTTCGATCCCGCGGAGTACGCCGCGCGCGCCGCCGCCGTCGCCTTCAACGACGCGAACAGATCCCCGCGTTCGCCGCGCAATTTCGTGTCCGACGTTCCGTTGATGACGTGTAAATTCTTCGGCCTGAGCTCCGGGATCCAGCGCTCGCACTCGCGCGCCCACGTCAGGCGCAACGACGCGGGAGCGATGATCAGCAGAGGCCCCTCGTGGAGGTACGCGGCGCCGACCGCGAGCGCTTGGATCGTCTTCCCGACGCCCATCTGATCCGCGAGGAAACACCGGCCGTTCCTCGACAGCGCAAACTTGACGCCCTCGACTTGGAACGGATACATCGCGTCGCGGAGCCGCCGCGGGAGCGACTCGTAGCGCTCTTCGACCTCGTCTTCGCACACGGACGCGAACGATTTCGTCATCGCGCGGTAGGTGGACGGAGGAATCATCGCGCTGTTCGCCGGCGCTTTTTTCCCCTCGACGACGTACGCCTGATTGATCACCGAACGTCGTTTGAGCTCCGCGACGATCGGCTTGTACGCCGCGAGCGGGTACTCCCAACACATGAGGTAGCAGTTCTTCGCGCGCGAGCACGCCATCGCTTGCTTGGAGTTTGCCACGTGGCGCAATTTCGACGTCGTCGCCGCCGCCGCCGCCGCCGCCGCGTCCCCGCCGCGGAGTCGTCTCTCGCGCTCCGCCCGCAACGTCGCGTCGTCGAACGTGTACACGCCCTCGCGCGGGTCCATGCCGATCGCTTTGAGCGCTTCGACGACGCGCAGCGAGCGGTCCATCGCGCACCAGAGCAAGAACGCGTCCGCGGCGATGAGCTCCGCGCCGACGCACTGATGCGTCGGCGGTTGTTGTCTCTGTTGGCCGCCCCCGGCGTGATGGATCGAACGTGGCACCGTCGCGCGCGGGGCTCCGCCGGACGACCGACGCGGCGGCGACCGCGGTCGCGCGTGTTGCGGGCGCGGAATGCCGTCGTTGCTCTCGCGGCGGATGAATACCGGGTGCATCGGCGTCGCGGACGGCGGCGCGTCGTGCCCAGAGAAGCCTTCGCGCGCCATCGCTCGTCACGCGGGAACGAGTTGTTCCATCGTCTTCCCCTCTTTGAACGAATCACGGCACCCTGGATCTCGGCGTCCTTCCCCGCTCCGGGCGCGGCGGTGGCGCGCGCTTCGCGCGTCGACGTTCGCGACGTCGACGCTGAGCACTCAGCGGGGACGACGACGACGCGCGCGCGGCAGCGGAGGCGCGTGCGTCGGAGAGTGAGGCGTCCGCGCGCGCGCGTCGTCCAGAAGTACACGACCTTCAGCTGTTGTCGCTGTCAGGCGGTCGGTTTTGAGGTGTTTTGGCATTTCCAGCATCGCACGCCTACCGGAGTACTCCGCGGAGTACTCCGCGGTGGTTGGCGGCGGTAGGGTAGGAAAGAGACCGGGCAGACGAATACGGCGTCACAGTAGACGAGTAGACAAGGTCGCAGATGTCTTGAAAACGGCGGTGGATACAAGACACAGACAGAAGATGCACAGACAGAAGAAGAGACGACGCGCGAGAGCCGCGGCTTTTACGTTAGCACTCGTTTTTTGCCTTTTTGATTTGATTCGCCGACGCCGGCTCGCCCGCCGGCCGCGTCTCCCCCTCTCTCCGCGCGTCTCGCTCGCTCACGACGTGTCCCCGAAAAACTTATCCTTATCGTCCCTAAAGTTCGGCTGCAAGACGCAGTCGATCGTGTGCACGACGCCGTCGACGCACACGAAGTCCACGGCTCGCAACCGGCACCCGTTGACGAACAGCTTCGAGCCGAGCTTCGCGCGCGCGGCGTTGGCGCCGAAGCCGCTCGCGTGCGAAGCGCCCGCGCCGAAGCCGCCGCCGCCTCTGAACGACTCCACGTACACGTCCTTCCCTTCGAATGTCCGTAACGTCTGTGTGTTATGCGTTTCGAGTAACCCGGACTGCAGCCTCGCGGGGATGAAGTGGTACAGTAACGTCTCTTGGAGCCCGGGGACGCCCGGGTTCACGACGCGTTCCGCGGCGGTGTCGATGAAGAATCCCGGGTTCGTCGCGATGTATTTGATAAACGCCGTGTTCGTCGGCGCGAACACGGTCAGCGGGTTCTCCGCGCTCGCTCGGTTGATCGCGTTGAGTAACCCCCCGCCGGTGAGCGCTTGTTCGAAGATCGAGAGCTCGAACCGGTCGACTATGACGGACGCGACCGTGCGTTTCGTCGGCAGCGGCTGCGGCGACGGCGGAAATAACACGCAGTCGATCACGTGCACGACCCCGTTGGACGCCTGCACGTTGCTCCGCCGCACGTCGCACCCGTTCACGAAGTACGCCTTCTGTAAGATGGTCTGAAACACTTCAATCTCCAGACCTTCCGTGAGCGCGAGGTAGACCTGCGCGGGGTCCACGCCCTGTTCGATCGCCGCGCGCGCGGCGCGCGCGATGTTCGGCGCGGCCGTATGCATCGTCGGCATCTTTTGCCCGAAAAACATCCCGTGCGTGTACAGCTCTCGCCGCGCGACGTGATACATCATCACCTCCGTCAGCGCCGGGTCTTCGTATATGTCCTCCTTCGTGACGCCGAGGGAAACAAGCGCGTTGTACCACGCGCGATTCGTCGGCACGAACACCGTGAACGGGCCGGGGGAGTCGAACAGCTGGAGTAATCCGGTGGCGACGAGCGCGTCCGCGAAGAAGCCGACTTCGGAGTTGACCTTCTTGCCGACGACGAGCTCAGCGATGGAGGGGAGCCCGGGTATTTTTCTTCGCGTCGCGGGCGGGGCGTCCGGGTCGCGCGTCGGCTCGATGATCTGCGGCGCCGGGGGCGGGATGGAGAGTTGCGGCGCGGGGCCGGGGGTGCCGAGGCGCACCGGCGACGGGGGCGACGGCGACGGCGACGGCGACGTCGGGTTCGGAGGGAACGCCGGCGCCGGCGGGAACGGCGCCGGCGGGAACGGCGCCGGCGTCGTCGTCGTCGCCGGCGCCGGCGTCGCCTGCCCCGGGGGGATCTGCGGTGGTATCTGCTGCGTCGCCCCGGGCGGGATAAACGCTCCAGCTCCGGGCGTTACCGGCGCCACCAGCGGCTGCGGCTGCGGCTGCGGCTGCGTCGTCGGCGTCGGTCGTTCGTAGTCGTCGTAGTCGTCCTCGTACGGCGCGTCCCCCGTCGGCGTCGGCGTCGGCGTCGGCGTCGGCGTCGGCGTCGGCACGAACTGCTGCTGCTTCACCTCCCGCACGCCCCCGACGACGCCGCTCTCGAAACACGCGCCGTCCTCGGTCAGCGGCGCCGCGCACTGCCCGCTCGCGAACGCGCGAAAAAAATCGAGCCCGGCGTCGCCGATGACCGCGCGCACGGTGTCCACGATGCCGTCGTCGCAGAAGCAGCGCGCGTCGTCCGCGCGCGCGAGCGTCGCGCAGCACGCGTCGTAGGACCCGCCCGCGTTTAAGTTGCAGTCCACGGCGAGGCCGCCGAAGACGAGCGTCTGGCACGCGCCCGCCGCCGCGGGCGACAGCGGCGGGTACGGAGGGCTCGCGTCCGCGCCTCCGCTCGGTCTCGCGACGCCCGCGCGCTGCGCGGACGCGAGGCGAGGCGTCGTCGTCGCGAGCGTCGCGAGCGTCGCGAGCGCCGCGAGCGCGCGGAAGCGGCCGCGCATGACGACGAACCGCGTCGCGCGGGAGGAGCGAGTGTACGACGACGCGGCATCGCGCGCGGCGGTCGTCTCGAGGGCGCGGCGCCCGCGCGCCTCCCGAGTGCCGCCGCGCGCGGCCTCGAGAACGCCGAGGAAACTTCCTTCTGATGCTTCTGTCAGTCTGTTGTTGCTGTTGTTGACCTCGCGCTCGCCTCGTCAGGATACAGTAAGTTGTTCGTCCCGCGTTACAACGACGACGTGCTAGTGCTATCTGCTACGACCGCGCCGGACCGACCCGGGGGAAGACTCGACTCGCCGCGTCGTCTCACTCGTCACTTGGACATCCAGTAGATCAGAATGAACCCGACGCACATCGCGGTCACGACGGACAGCACGATCGTGTCTTTGCTCTTCTTCCGCTTGATCGCGGACATCAAGTTTTGAACGACGGGGAACCGATCGCCCATCTGCCCCAAGTTGTCCCCGACCCTGCTGAAAATCTCCCGCTGGTTTATCAGCGCCGCCGCGGTCGCGGTCGCTTGCCCGATGACCTCGTCCACCTTGGACGTGCTCGAGTGGATGCTGCCGCGCTCGCGTAACAACGCGTCCGCGCCGCCGTCTTCGACGAATCCGCCGCCGCCGTTTCCACCGCCGCCGCGCCCGCCTCCGATGAGCGCCTCCCTGTCGCGGTTCGCTTCGACGATCTTCCCCACTCTCCTGTGCTCGTGCGTGAACTCCGCGAGGATGTCGCGGTGACGCGCGAGGACGTGCGTGCGCGCTTCCCCTCCCGCGGTCGCGCCGCTCATCGCGCGGTTGACGTCCGAGAGGCGCTGCAACAGCGATTGAATCGCCGCCGAGGTGGCGTCCACGCCGTCCGAGTGGAGAAGCGCGTCGGAGACGCCCGCGCCCGAGCTCTGCGCGAGCTTGGCGTAGTCCGACAGCTTCCGGTCGATCTCGCTCTCGAGCTTGCGCGCCTGCGGGTGGTGCGACGCGGAGGGGGCGGGGGGGGGGGGCGTGAGATCTCGCGGGAGGGGCGCGAGGAGGAGGAGCGGAAAGAGGCGCCGTTGGGAGGACGGCGAATCTCGCGCGACTACGCGCGCGACGCGAGGGACGACGGGCGAGGACGCGGAGACAGAGGACGGACCTCGCGGCGGAGGTCTTCCCACGCCCCGGCGGGCACCGTGCGCGTGCTCATGGTGTGCATCAACGCGCGCGGGACGAAGTGATGGCGGACGAGGAGGGAACGGGCGGATTCGTCGGCAGCGCAGCGTCAGCGAGGCGCGAGCGCGAGCACGCGTTTTTACGATCGACGGTTTATCCACTGCCACTCGTCGCGGCACTCCACGTCCGGTCGCGGCTGATGCCCGCGCTCACGTTCTGCACGTCTCGCGTCGTCGCGTCCGCGAGCGTCTCTTCGTTTCCCGCGTCGAAGCCCGCGTCCGCGTCCGCGCCGGTCGCCGCCGCTCGCGCCGGCGGTCGCCGTCGGATCAGCCGTCGTCCGCTCTCGTCGTCGTCGTCGCCGTCGTCGTCGTCGCCGCCGCGGACCGCGTCGACGTCGCCGTCCTCTCTCGGCGTCGCGACGACGACGTCCGCGACACCACGTCGCGGCGACGGGAGAAGCGCGATGCCGACGCGCGCCGCCGCCGCCGCCGCCGCCGCCGCCACCACCACCGCCACCGCGTCGTCCTCCGAGCATCGGACATCGGCCGACGCCGACGGCGACCTCTTCCTCGGCCTCGACTTCGGCACGTCCGGCGCGCGCGCCACCGTCGTCGACGCGTCCGGCGACGTCGTCGTCGAGACCACCGCGAAGTACCCCCCCATCGTCGACGGCGGCAAAGGCGGCGACGGCGTCCCGGAGGGCGGCTGGGCGAACGCGTGGGAGACCGCGCTGTGGTCGATCCTCGACGGACTCCCGAAAGGTGCGTTCTATACACTGGTCCCCATACGACCGCGTCGGCGTGGTGAACGCCGATCCTTAAGGACTTTGCCCGGCGTATCTCTCCGCCCAGGGTCCCTCGCGTTCAATCCCCGCCCTCGGCGCCTTTCAACTCCAACTGACGCCTTTCAACTCCACCCTGACATCGCTTTGTATGGAATGGCCCTCAAGCCGTCGCGGACGCCGTCGTCGCCGTCGCCGTCGACGGCACCTCCGGGACGGTCCTCATCGTGGACGCGGACACCGGCGAATCGCTGTACCCGCCGATGCTGTACAACGAGAAGCGCGACGACGCCGTGGAGGCGATAAAGAAGATCGCGCCGGAGGGGCACACGACGCGAAGCGCGTCCAGCGCGCTCGCGAAGCTGCACAGCTGGCACGCGCGATCCGTCGCCGAAAACGTCGACGTCGCCAACGCGCGGCTGTTGCACCACGCGGATTGGATCGCGTTTTTACTCCACGGCGAGATGGGCGTGACGGACCACAATAACGCGCTGAAGCTCGGGTTCGACCCGGGGTTAGACCCGGGGCCCACCGAGGGTGTTTGCGCGTACGGAGCGCCGTGCGACGGCGCGTACCCGGACTGGTTGCTCGCGACGCCGTACGCGTACGCGTTGCCGAGGACGGTCCTTCCTCCCGGGACGACGTGCGGCGCGGTGAGCTCGACGGAGGGCAAGAAGCGATTAGGTCACCCCGGCGGCGTGAAGGTGGTCGCCGGGACGACGGACTCCATCGCCGCGTTCGTCGCCGCGCGGTGCGTCGACGTCGGCGACGCGGTGACGAGTTTGGGGAGCTCCCTCGCGATGAAGGCGCGTTCTCCTTACACTGGTCCCCATACGACCGCGTCGGCGTGGTGAACGCCGTTCCTTAAGGACTTTTCCCGGCGCATCTGTCCGCCCACCCCTCGCGTTGCTTTCAATTCCCGACCTCGACGCTTTTCAACTCCAACTGACGCCTATGAACTCCACCCCGACGTCGCTTCGTATGGAACGACCCTGAAGATGGTCAGCGAGACGCGCGTGGACGACGACACGAAAGGGATTTACTCGCACCGACTCTGCGGGTGCTGGCTCGTCGGCGGGAGCAGTAACCTAGGCGGGTGGCTGCTGCGGTCGAACTTCACGAACGACGAGGTCGCGGCGCTCACGGAGGCGATGGAGGCGACGACGACGACGGCGAACGAAATCCCGGAGTACTTCCCGGGCGTCCTTCTCGGGTTTGGGCTCACCGTGGAAGAGGCGACCGCGGCGCTGACGCCGCGGCCGGACGACGATATCGACTTCCTGCGCGCGATCTTGACCTCGATCGCGAACGTCGAGGCGCGGTCGTACGCGGAGCTGTACAAGCTCGGGGCGTCGCACGAGGTGAGGCGGGTGTTCACCGCCGGGGGCGGCGCGAAGAATGAAAAGTGGTCGACGATTCGATCCGACGCGCTCGGGGGGGTGCCGGTCACCGCGTCGCCGTACGCGGAGGCGGCGTACGGCAGCGCGCTGCTCGCGCGGATGGGACACTACGAGCTCGCGTCGTACGTCCCGGAGATGTGCGCGGACCCGACCGCGGTGTGCGAGGTTCGGTGACGAGCGACCCGTATCTTATAGTAGAGGCGACGCCGGCGAAATGCGAAAAACAAAATATAATTATTTCATTCGGTCGCGCGCGCGTGTGCTTTCTTCCCTTCCTCCTCAGTCTTTCTTCCCGGTCCCGTACGGGTTCATGAACTCGTCGAGCTTCTCCTTCCAGCTCTTCTCCGGCGGCGGCGACTCACCCTCGCCGCGCTCGAGCAAGATCACGTCGTCGAACGGGTTCATCTTTCCCGCGTTCTCACGAATCTGCTCCTCCGTGATTTTCTTCTCGTCGTCTCGCTCTCTGTACCCGTACTCGACCTTCCCGAAGCACGGCGCGGCGGCGAGGCCCGGGTACATCTTCATCCCAGCCTTACGCAGCGGCTCCTCCGCTTTCCACATCTCCGGGACGATCATCCACGCCTGCTTGACCGCCATCGGGCCGACCGGGAACCACTGGTTCGGGCCTTTCGCGCGGATGAAGCACTCGAACACCACGCCGCCCTCCGCGACCATCGCGTCGTACTTCTCCGACGCCGCGATCTCCGCGGCCGTGGGCGGGAGGTCCGGCTTCTTCTCGCCGCTCGCAGCCTTCCGGACCCTCGGCTTCTGAAGCTGCTGCGACGCCGCGGCCTTGCGAGCGGCCTTCTCCTCCAGCTTCTTGAGCTTCTTCTTCTCCTTGCTCTTGAGCGCTTTCGCTCCGCCGACGGATAAGTCCGGCGCGTCCGCGGCGCGGACGAGGACGACGCGCGACCTCGGCGACGCGCGCGCGGCGCGGCGGACGGTGACGACGGTGCGCGCGGGCGCGAGCGAGAGCGCGTTCATGGCGACACAGGACGCCATCGCGTGCGATGCGTTATGGTGGCGACGACGCGATCGGATAGGGACACGTCAGCGGCGCGAAACTGAGCTGTGAGAGGCTCAGGTGCGTCGTCGCTCGGTTTCAACATTTGATCGCGTCCCGTTTCAAATGACCGATGAATTTGTTTTTCATAGGATGGCTTCTCGTCGATCGGCACCGCCAAAAAAGTGAGTCGCGAGCGTCTCGGAGCGACGACAACCGTCCTATCTCTCTCTCGCTCTCTCGAACACCGCCGCCGCTCAGTGCGTAATCCGCACGAGCTCCTCGATCCTCTTCGTGAGCTCCTCGACGCCGACGCCGACGACGCTCGCCACCTCGCTCGCCTTCTCCGGTCTCAGATCCAAAAACGATTCGATCAGATCCCCGTCCACGAATCCGCGCGCTTCCACCAACCGCGAGCGGTGCTCGTTGTGGAAACTCCGCCACGCGTCGTGCGAGAACCCGCCGACGCCGCTAACCACTTTATTCATCGCCTTCTGCAACGCCGCGAGGAACGTGTGCGTGGACTCCGGCAACGACGCGACGACGCCGATGGCTCCGTTCACCGTGCCGAAGAGCTGCGTCGGGGCTTCGTTCGACGCGTCGAGCCCGAGCCCGAGCCCGGCGCCGTCGCCGTCGCCCGGCAGCCGCATCACGAGCGAACCCGCGCGGAATCGGTTCACGAACTCCCCGAGGTGGTACTCCCCGATGACGTCGAGGCGCGAGCGCTCCTCGTCCGCGGCGGCGTCGCTGTTTTTGCGGACGGTGAACAGGTTGAACGAGTTCTCCGCGCCGAGGTACGTCTCGTCGTCGAGCGCGCAGACCGCGGTCATCCAGTTCGGGTTGAAGTCCCTCGCGCGCTCCTCGATGACGCCCTCGTCGGGTTTGTAGACCAGGAGCGAGATGGACTTCATGAGGTCGCCGACGACGATGAAATCCCCGCGGACGTCGACGTACAACGCGACGATGTGCCCGTGGTGCGAGCACTCGCTCGCGAGCTCGCACGTCGTCGCCGCCGCCGGCGCGCCGCCGCCGCCGCCGCCGCCGCCGCCGCCGTCGGCCATCGCGACGGCACCCCCCTCAGCACCCCCACCAGCCCCCGCGCCGGCGCCCGCGCCTCGCGAGACCCACTTGAACAGCTGTACCTTGCTGTTGATCCCCGCGAGCAGCTTCCCGTTGAACGCGTTCAGATTATACACCGCCCCCTTCACCTCCTTCTCCGCGACCAGAGACAGCCGCCCTTCGTCCGCTCTCAGGACGAGTATCCTCCCTCTGGACGGCTCCACCTCCTCCGGTAGCGAGAACGCGGTGCCGACGACGTAGTACGACGCCGGGTCGTCCGCGAACGAGCACGAGATGATGCTGCTGTCTGTCTCGCCGACGTCGAGGCGATACTTGAACAACGTCTCGAACGTGACGTCGTCGAAGAGTCTCACGTAGAAGCTCTCCTCGTTCGTGACGTCGCTGACGTGGCTTGTCAGGACCGCGAACGTCCGAGACGCGGGCTGATGCGCGATCCGCCGCGGCTGCTCGCCCAGCGGCACGGTGCGAATGTGCAATTTTTGAATGTCGTCGATGCCTCCGATCGTGAGCTCGCTCTCCGACGCCAACGCGAGCGAGTCCGGGAACGCGTCGCAGTTGAACGCACACATGTGAAGCACCTCCCTCAAGTTCACGTTGCTGTAGATGAGCTTCTTGTTCTGCGAGTATATGACCGTCGGTCGGTCGCTGCCCGCGAACACGTGCGTCGTGTTTTTATTCCGAAACGTTTTCAGCGTGATCGGCTGAGGGTCGTTCCATACGAGCGAACGTCGGGGTGGAGTTGAAAGGCGTCAGTTGGAGTTGAAAGGCGTTGAGGGTGGGGATCGAAAGCGGGGGGTGGGCGGAGAGATGCGCCGGGCGAAGTCCTTAAGGATCGGCGTTCACCACGCCAACGCGGTCGTATGGGAACCAGTGTATAGAACGCGCCTGAGTCCCGACGGAGAGCTTCTTGCCGTCGCCGATGATCCCCGACCGCTCGCCCATCAGCGCGAACGTGAACAGCTGTCCGTCGCCCAAGCCCGCGAGCAGGTACGGGATCCCCTCGAACGAGCACAGGAGCACCGCGCGAGGGATCACCTCCGCGTCCGTCAACGGCGCCGACGACAGTTCCTCGAGCGTCGCCGTCGCGAGCACGCGAACCTCCGCGGACCACAACCCGACGGCGCAAATCTCCGAGGACGCCGCGCGCGGGTCCGCGAGGGGAGTGACGTCCAGGCACGCGATCTCGTGGCCAACGTTGACGCGCGCGAGCTCGCGCAGGAGCGGCGACGCGTCGTCGACGTCCATCGCGTCGCCGCCGCCGCCGGCGGCGACGCTCACGAGCGTCCCGCCCTCGAGCGCGACGACCACCTGCGTCCGATTCGCCGCCGCGACGCTGACGCGCTCGCCGGGCTCCGGCGTCCACCGCGCTCTCAGCGCGCCCGTGGCGACGTCCACGAGTCGGATCCCACCGCTCGTGACTTGGCACGCGTACCCGCCGTCGACGTTGGCGCACGCGAGAGCCCGCTCGTCGCCCGCGAAGCCTTCAAACTCCGTCTCGTCGAGCTCGTCCTTGTCGTTGATCGCGAGTATCCTGGTTTCGCCGATGAACGCGACGACTAAGAACGTGTCGCTGACCGCGTCGTCCGCGTTTTTGAGCGCCCAGCACCCTTTCACGCCCGGGAGCTCGATCGCCGCCTGCTCGTGGATGCCGACGCCGTTCCGCACGACCCGCAGGGACCCGTCCTTGTGCACGCCGCTGCACGTCACGACCTGGCCTTGACCGTGGCGGTCCAAGTCGACGACGACGAAGTCGACGATCGGCCCGAGCGACGTGAACGACTCCAGGACCTCGACGTAGTTCGGGGCGTCGGTTACGGCGCCGGAGTCGACGGGGACGATCTCTCCTCCTCCTCCTCCGCCGCCGTCGCCGTCGCCGCCGCCGCCGCCCGCGATCGGGATCGGCGTCGAGTGCAACCGCACGAGCTGCGAGTCCCCGTACGCGCTCCCGACGTACACGACGCCGTTATCCAAGTACGACAACGACGACGCGATCGACGTTTGCCCCAACGACTCGAGCTTCAGCGCGCGCACTCGCGTCTTATCGTGCATCAACACGAGCAGGTGCAACCGCCCCGCGCTGTCGCTCAACAAGTACCGGCTCCCGTCCTTGTCCACGGCGCCGTAGGTCATGATCGTCGCGTCGGACTGCATCGCGATCGCCTTCACGATCATCCCGCCGCCGCCGCCGCCGCCGCCGCCGCCGCCGTCGCCGACGCCGTGCGTCGTTTCCTTGTTGAGATACGCGATGACCTTCTCGCCGACGACGACGACGCCGCCGAGCGGCGCCGGCACGGCGATCAAGAACCGGCTCCCGGACTCGACGTCGTTCTGCGCCCACGGCCCGGGGTTGAAGTCCTTGTCTTTCAAGCACACCTCGTACGTCTTTATGTGCCTCCCCTCCTTCGTGTCTTGGTATAACACCGCGATCGTCGGCTTCGGCGTGCCCGCGAGGAATTTCACGTCGAACACCTGCAGCTCCTCGAGTCGAACGCTGAACGCCTCTCGCAGCTGCCCGGTCTGGTCCATGGGGATCACCTTGAACAGGCCGTCGTACAGATGCAGGCCGTACATCCGGCACTCCGGGTCGACCGCGCCGATGGGCCCGCACTCGCTAGGACGCCCGACGCGATCGGTGAGGTCCCCCATCGCGCGCGTGATCAGCTCCCCCTTCGCCGCGTCGTAGGAGAGGACGCAGAACATGTTCCGCTCGGTGAGGATGAAGAGCATCGGCTTCTTCTCGAACGGCGGGCGGACGAGCTCCATCGTCGCGATCCGGCCGTAGATCGGGACGTCCATCATCGCCTGCAGGCCCTGCGGCGTCAGGAGGTGGATCTCCACGCGCGTGCACTTGGCGACGACGAGATTGAGCTCGTCCTCGTGCGTGAAGTTCCCGACGACGGAGTGCGTCACCGACGTCGGCTTCTGCGCGGTCACGACGTAGTTGTACTGCCCCGACGTGACGTCCGTCGGGCTCGCCGCGGCCGTCGTCATCGCGTCCCGTGGCGGTCAGATCCACTGTCCCTCTTCCGCGCGGACTCGACTGGTGTCATTTTTTCGTCGAAGCGCGGCAAAAGTACTTTGCCACTCGCGGTCGTCGCTGCCGCCTGGCCTGGCTGTGTTTTTACTACGAGCGTCGCGCGCTCCGCGGCCGTATACACCCTCGCGCGACGCACGCGTCGGTCGCGAGGACGCGAGGCGAGCGCGCGAGATCCCAGGGAGAGGTCGGCGACGAGAACCCGCGCGTCATGCCGCCTAAGAAGGTGCGCGTCGCGCCCGTCGCCCGCGCGCGCCTCCCGTCGTCGTCGACCGGGAATTTGCTCGTTAGCGCTCGTCGTCGTCGCGCTTCAAAACGCCGGTCGTCGGCGCCCTCGACTCGGCGCGGCGAACGCCGTCGTCCCGAGCCTTCGCGCCCTCCCACCGCGCGTCCGATCCCCGCTCGACGCGCCGCGCGATCGTCGGACCGATCGCCGGCGCGTCGGGGCGATCGACGCGCGCGCGGAGGCGCGATGCCGGGGTCGCGCGCGCGCCCGCATTCCATCGTCATCGCGCCCGATTTAGATTTCCCCATCCGCTCCGACCATCGGGGGCGACCCACCGATCCGCCCGTCGCGCGATCGAACCCCCCCCTGACCCTCCCTCCCTCCCACCCCGCCGATCCTCCGCGCCGTTCCCCAGCCCGCCGCCGCGGACGGCGCGGCGAAGCCGAAACCCAAAGCGAAGAAGAAGGAGCCCAAGGCGGCGGACGCGGACCCGTACGACGTCAAGGAGAAGGAGACGCTCAAGCCGGAGAATCAGCTCGCGCTGACGCCGAAAGAGCTCGAGGAGGAGATCACGAAGCAGCTCACCGCGAACAACCCGAACGCGCCGAGCAACATCGCGCGGTTCAACCACCGCGAGGGCGCGTTCAAGTTCGAGCCGATGGTGGACCAGCTCGTGATGCACTACGCCACCGACGGCTTCCTGCTGCACAAGGGGAGCGACGACGCGAAGCGGCAGATCGAGCTCGATCGACTGGAGGACGAGGCGAGGCGGGCGTACGAAGCGCTCAGCGCGCCGAGGGACCCGAACGCGGAGGGCGGCGCGGAGGGCGGCGCTGCTGAGGGCGGCGCTGCTGAGGGCGGCGCGGAGGGCGGCGCGGAGGGCGGCGCGGCGGCGGCTCCCGCGGGGGCTCCCGCGGGGGACGGCGGCGAGGGCGACGACGACGCCGACGCCGAGCCCGCCGACGACTCGAAACAGCTGCGGAACCAATTCAACTTTAGCGAACGCGCGGCGCAGACGGTGAACAACGCGCTGCGCGAGCGTCAGAGCGCGACGGAACCGCCCGCGGTGAACGCGTTCAACACGTCGTGCACGCAGTGGGAGATTTACGACGCGTACATGGAGGACCAAGAGCGGATGGCGATCCAAGCCGAGATGCAAAAGCAAGCCAAGGCGAAGGCGAAGGAGCCGGGGAAGAGAGAGGAGGAGACGGCGCCGCCGCCGAAGGAGAAGAAGCCGGAGCTCATGGCGGGGGTGAAGATGACGAAAGCGGTCAAGGTCATGGAGCGGATGGTGAACCAGAACTCGTACGACGACATCGCGCAGGACTTCAAGTACTGGGAGGATCAGTCGGATCAGTTTCGCGACGGGGAGGGGACGCTTCTGCCGCTGTGGAAGTTTTACAACGAACGCGCGAAGCGACGCCACGTCACCGCGATCGCGTGGAACCCGGAGTATCACGACCTGTTCGCCGTCGGGTACGGGTCCTTCGACTTCATCAAGCAGATGTCCGGGCTCATCTGCTGCTACTCGCTGAAGAACCCGAGTCACCCGGAGTACGCGTTCACGACGGAGAGCGGCGTGATGTGCCTCGACTTTCACCCGCAACACTCGTCGCTCCTCGCGGTCGGGTGCTACGACGGCACCGTCCTCGTGTACGACGTGCGCTCGAAACTCAACCGCCCGATCCGACAGAGCACGGTCAAGAACGGCAAGCACACGGACCCGGTGTGGCAGGTGTCCTGGCAGGAGGAGGACCTGTCGTCCAAGGCTTTAAACTTTTTCAGCGTCTCCAGCGACGGCCGAGTGACGATGTGGACCATGAGCAAGTCCGAGCTGACGTACCAAGACGTCATGCTCATGAAGATGGTGTCCACCGCCGCGGACGGGGACCCGGACGACGACGCCACGCTCGGATCGCTCGCGGGCGGGTGCTGCTTCGACTTTCACAAGACGACGGATCATCTCTTCGTCGTCGGCACGGAGGAGGGACACGTGCACAAGTGCTCCAAGGCGTACAACTCGCAGTACCTCGAGACGTTCGTCGGGCACCACATGGCGGTGTACACGGTGAAGTGGAACGGCTATCATCCCAAGGTGTTTTTATCCGCGTCGGCGGATTGGACCGTGAAGCTGTGGGACCATCAGATGCCCAAGCCGGTGATGTCGTTTGACTTGAACAACGCGGTGGGGGACGTCGCGTGGAGCCCGTTTAGCATCACGACGTTCGCCGCGGCGACGAGCGACGGAAAGGTGCACGTGTACGACCTCCACGAGAATAAGCACGAGCCGATGTGCGAGCAGAAGGTTGCGAGGAAGGCGCGGTTGACGAAGATCGCGTTCAACCCGAAGCATCCGATTTTGCTCGTGGGCGACGACCGAGGCTGCGTGACGTCGCTGAAGCTGTCGCCGAATTTACGGAAGGGCACCAACGACGTGGAAAGGCTCGAGACCATCATCGACGCCTCCATCAAGGGCGAGATGCCCGAGAAGGAGTGAGCACGATGGTGACGGACGAGCAGGAAAGACATACCTTCGTACGAAAGTACTGCAGTAGGCTCTAGATATTTATCGTAATTAGACGACGTATTTGCTCGGTGTGTCGGTCGTAATCAACGCGGGGCTATCTTCTCTCTCGTTCGTGTTCTCGAACATCACGCCACGGGCTCGGCTTCCTTGTCGCCCACGGGCGCGGGGTGATGCTTTTCGATCTTCTCCCGAAGAAGTTTAATCTTCGATATGGACGCGCTGAACTCCTCGACTTTGCCCTCTTTGCCCTTGTAAAAGTGGAAAAACGGCAGAATCTTCACCCCCATGCTCCGGCACATCTCCTTGTTGTCGTCGAACTCAACCTTCACGAACAAGATGTCTTTGTTCTCCTCCTGGCTCGCGATCTTGCACAGCTTCGGGAACAGCCCTCGGCACGCGCCGCACCAGCGCGCGTAAAAATCTACGATCACCAGCCGATCCCCAGCCTCCTTGAGCGCCTGGAGAAACTCCTCCGTGCCGTTCACGTCGATCATGTTGTCGTTGCTCGAGGTCGACTTGAGCCACCACGTGTCTTTCGGGTCCACCTTACCGCCCATCGCCTACGACGCGCGCGGAAGAGGCGAGGATGGACGGAGGACGCGCGGAGACGACGACGGACGACGGTCAGCGAGAGGGATAGCGAGAGGGATTTAATATCTCGGAGCGTCGAGAGCGAGAGGACGACGACGGTTCGGGGGAAGGACGCTCCGTCGCCGGCGCGATCCCGCGGCCGCGGGCGCGCGAGGGAGAGCGGGTGGGCGCGGACCTTGACGTCTCGCGACGCGCGTCGCGACGCCGGCGCGCGGAGCGAGCGCGAGAGCGACGCGACGTCGCCCGTGAACGCGCCGCGCGCCGGCGTCGCGACGCCGCGCGTCGCGCGCGGCCCACCGTTGGGAGAGGGAGTCGAGACGCCGCGCGCGGTTGTCGCGACCGCGCGCGCGGCGCCGCGAGGGCGGCGACGGCCGACGGACGCGGTCGCGGGCGCGACCGCGCTCGTGGTCGCGAATACAGCGTGCATCGTGTGCCGCGCGGAGGCTATCTCGGGCGCGCGATGCTCTGCGGCGGCTCGGACGGGATGGGGTCACGTGTAGAGGACGGCGCAAAAAGTGCTCGGGCGATCTCCGTCTTTCGTTCGGTCACGGAAATCCGAGAATCCTCTGACTAATTGCGCATACGACGCCTCCACGTACTACTCGGCGTTCGCGGCTCTCGAACAACGCTCGTCACGAGAACCCTCGCCTCGCCCTCATCACTGACTGTCACCGTCACTGTCCTCGTCGCCTGAGATGCCCACCCCGGAGGACGCCGCCGCCGCGGCGTCGGCGTCCTCCCTCCCTCGCATCGTCCTCCCCCCCACGAGCGACTCGCACCGCCTCTCCGTCGCGCCGATGCTCGACTGCACGGACGCGCACTTCCGCGCCGTCTGCCGGTCGTTCTCGCGCCGGACGCACCTCTGGACGGAGATGATCCACCAAGACGCCGTCATCCACTCGCACGCCTCGCGACCGGAGATGCTCGGGCACGACGCGTCGGAGCACCCGCTCACGGTCCAGCTCGGCGGGAGCTCCCCGGGAAGGCTCGCGCGCGCGGCGGAGATTTGCGACGCGGCGTATGGATACGACGAGGTGAATCTCAACGCGGGGTGCCCGTCCGCCAAGGTGACGAGCAAGAGCGACGCGGAGAAGTGCTTCGGCGCGGTCTTGATGCGCGACCCGGAGCTCGTGGGGGAGTGCCTTCGAAGGATGCGCGAGGCCGTGGACGTCCCGGTCACGCTGAAGCACAGGCTCGGGGTTCGCACGCGAGGTGCAGGAGGTGGAGGAGGAGGAAGGCGGCGGCATCTGCATCGGCATCAGCATCAGAGTCTTTCAGCATCAGGTGCGTTCTATACACTGGTCCCCATACGACCGCGTTCGCGAGGTGGACGCCGATCCTTAAGGACTTTCCCCGGCGCATCTCTCCGCCCACCCCTCGCTTTCAATACCCGTCCTCGACGCCTTTCAACGCCATCTGACGCCTTTCAACTCCACCCCGACATTCGCTTGTATAGAACGGCCCTCAGCATCAGACGACGACGCCGCCGACGCCGCCGACGCCGAGGACAACTACGCGTACGTCTCCGACTTCGTTCAGAGAGTACACGAGCTGTCCGGGGTGACGCACTTCATCGTGCACGCGCGCGCCGCGGTGCTCGGCGGGCTCTCCCCCGCCGCGAACCGGTCGATACCACCGCTGCGGCATCGCGAAGTCCACGCGCTCGCGTCCGATTTCCCGAAGCTCGGGTGCGTTCTATACAAAAGTTTTTCACCCATCGCCCGGTTTCAACATTTGATCGCGTCCCCTTTCAACTGACCGATGAACTATTTTTGTATGGAATGGCCCTCAGATTTTCGCTCAACGGCGGCGTCGAAACCGTCGACGACGCCGTTCGACACCTCTCGTCCGGGAAGTTGAAAGGCGTCATGCTCGGTCGCGCGGTGTACAGAGACCCGACGATCCTGCACGACGTCGACGCGCGCGTGTACGGGGACGAGAGCGGCGGCGTGGGCGTCGACCCGACGGTCGCGAAGAGTCGAGGCGACGCGTTGACGAGGTACGAATAGAATAGTCTACGCGCGCGAGACGAACGGAACCGACGCGACCGACGACCGCGGCGGATTGACCGCGGCGCGCGCGAACCCGACGCTTTCCTTTCCTTTTCCCCCGTCCCGTCCGTCGTCGCGCTTCGCCGCACACCGCGCGCTGTTCTGTTTCACCGGTATCGCTGACGTGTCGCTGACGTGTCGCAGGTTCGCCGCGTACGGCGACCACGTGTTGCGCGAGCGGTGGGCGACGCATCCTCGCGCCGGGATCAACCTGACGCGCGCCCTCTTCAAAGCCTGCGCCGGGGTCGTGCACGGCACGCGCGGCGGGAAGGAGTTCAAGCGACTCGCGGAGGCGGAGTGTTTGGGCGTTAAACAAGGCGGCGGGTTAAAGGACGCGGGTGGATCCCCTTCGAGGTTTGGCGAGATGATGGCGCGATGCGCGAGCGCGGTGCACGAGGAGGATTTACGCGCGCCGTTGCGTCGGGGCGGCGGCGCGGTCGTGAAGACGTGGGAGGCGAACGCCGCGGAGGGCGACGACGCTCGGTTCGGTGATAGATAGGGTAGGATAGTAGTAGCACATCCATCGCGCGCGACGGTGGGGGATAGCGCTCGCGCGAGAGGATCGATGAAGGGTAGGCAGTCGGTCGCGAGCAATCTGATTGAGTGAATTAAAAGCCGACGCCACGCCGTCGCCGCGCCGCCGCCGCGCTCGGTCGAATCGCCGTCGCCATCGCCGTCGCTCGCCGTCGATCCGCTCGCTCGCTTACGGGGAGATGACCGCGTTGACCGCGTGCACGATGCCGTTGTCGACCTTGATGTCGTTCTTCTTGAAAGACACGCCGTTCACCGCGCCGCCGGAGACGGTGATGGAGTTGCCCGCCATCGTGGTGAGCGTCTTCCCCTCCATGTCCGCGAGCGTGAGCGCGCCCTGGACCGCGCGAAGGAAGCGACGTCGGGGGCGGGTGGCGTTGAAACGCGTCAGTCGGAGTTGAAAGGCGTCGCGGCGGCGCGGAGAGAATCGCGGGCGAAAGTCCTTAAGGATCGGCGTGCGCCGCGCGGACGCGGTCGCGCGGGTACCGGAGGAGCGCGAGGAGGACGCGCCTGGACGATGTGCGTGCCGACGATGGCCGGGATGCGCGGGTCGTTCATGAGGTCCATCTTGGAGACGCCGATCTTCTGGCAGAGGTCGCCGAACGCGTCGTCGTTCGGGCAGAAGACGGTGATCGGGCCCGGGGACGTCATCGTGCCCTCGTGGCCGCCCTGCGACGGAGGGAGGGAGGGAGGAAGGGAGGGTGGAAGAAAACGTCAGCTCAGTCTGCGATGAGCCTCGGCCGCCGCTGACACACACTGCGTCGTCAGGTCGACGCTTGATCCGAACAGCGAAACGCGCCAGCTAACGGAAGTGGGAAATGCGTTCGATGGCGCGTCCGCGGTGACGCGGACGCGCGCGCGCGGGATCCACGACGTCGGCGTTCCGCGCGTCTCGACGCGTTCGATCGCGTCGCGCGCGTTCGCGTCGACGCGTCGAGCGCGCGCGCGAGGCTCGGAACGACGCGCGACGCCGCGGCGCGGGTTCCGGGGCGCGCGATCGCGCGTCGTCGCGGAAGAAAAAACCGCGTCGATCGATCGCGATATCCGTTCCGTCAGATTCGTCTCGACGCGCACGCGCGCCGCGCGCCGTCGTCGACGCCGCGCGCGCTCTGAGAACGCGCGAGACGTTCGGGGGAGAGCGCGACGGAGGCGCACCTTGGTGACCGCCGCGGCGAAGAGGCCGTAGTTGGCGTTCTTCGCGACCATGCCGAACGCGTCGTTGGCGAAGGAGCGACCGCCCTCCTCGCCACCCTTCCCGTGCGCGACCTTCTCGGCGCGGACGACGACGGCGCCGCGGCGAGCGATCTTAGACGAAGCCTTGGGCGTGGCGACGAGGGACGCGGTCTTGGAGAGAGCGAAGGCCATTTTGTGCGTGCGTGCGTGACGTGCGTTCGACGCGCGTTGGGGTATGCCGGAACGCGCGCGGGGGGTGTCGGGTAAGGTTCCGCGCCAGCTCACCACAACGAGCAGACAACGAGGGTTCCGAGGGACGAGTGTCAGACAAGTGCTGGGTAAGTTGAAATGTGATGCCATCAAATGTTGAAACTGAGGGGTGGGTGAAAAACGTTTGGATTTGAACGCACGACTGGTTCAGTTTGAAGCGCCCTTCTTTTCGCCCTCCTCCGTTTGAGTTTTTACGAAGGTATTTGTTCCAACAGATCTCGGGGCGCGAGCGGGGGTTCGCCGCTCGCTCGCTCGCTCCGCGCGCGCCGCCCACGCCGCCGCGACCGACGGCGACGCCGCGCGCGATGAGGTTCAAGACGATGTTCAACGGGTACTCCCTCGCGTTCAGCCCGTTCTTCGAGAACAGGCTCGCGGTGACGACGTCCCAGAATTTCGGCATCATCGGAAACGGGCAGCAGTACGTCCTGGACGTCGTCCCCGGGCAAGGCTTGCGCGAGGTGGCGCGGTTCGAGACCGCGGACGGTCTCTACGACTGCTGCTGGAGCGAAGAGAACGAGAACGTCCTCGTCTCCGCGTCCGGGGACGGCAGCGTGAAGGTCTGGGACGTCGCGTCCGGGCCGCGCGCGAATCCGCTGCGATCGTTCGAAGAGCACACGCACGAGGTGTACGCGGTGTCGTGGAACCAAGTCCGACGCGACTGCTTCCTCTCCGCGTCGTGGGACGACACGGTGAAGCTGTGGAGCCTCCACGGGCCGCCGCGGAGCGAGCGGACGTTCGCGGAGCACGCGTACTGCGTCTACGCCGCGGTGTGGAGCCCGCAACACGCCGACGTTTTCGCCTCTGCATCCGGGGATTGCACCCTAAAGATCTGGGACGTCCGGCAACCGCACAGCACGCTGACGATCCCGGCGCACGAGTACGAGATCTTATCGTGCGACTGGAACAAGTACAACGACTGCGTCGTCGCGACAGGGAGCGTGGACAAGAGCGTGAAGTTGTGGGACATACGGAACCCGCGGAGGGAACTCGCGGTGATTCCCGGGCATCAGGTGCGTTCTATACACTGGTTCGCATACGACCGCGTTCGCGTGGTGAACGCCGATCCTTAAGGACTTTGCCCGGCGCATCTCTCCGCTCACCCCTCGCTTTCAATACCCGCCCTCGACGCCTTTCAACTCCAACTGACGCCTTTCAACTCCACCCCGACATTCGCTTGTATGGAACGACCCTCAGTACGCCGTGCGAAGGGTGAAGTGCTCGCCGCACGACGAGGCGATCGTGTACACGTGCTCGTACGACATGACCGTCGCGGCGTGGAACTGGAAGATCGCCGCGAGCGAGCCCCCGGGGGATTCGTGCGTGAGGAGGTGGGGGCATCACACCGAGTTCGCGGTGGGGTTGGATTGTTCCGTGCTCGTGGAAGGGTTGATCGGGAGTTGCGGGTGGGACAGCCAGGCGTGCGTGTGGCCGGCGACCGGCGACCCGGTGAGCTTTTGATTGACAGGGTACGGTGGGTTTGTAGTAATAGAACGAACGAACGAACGAACGAACGAACGCGTGCGTCGTAAGATTGTTTCGTATCAAACGCATGATTGATTCAAAGCAACGCGCGAGGGGAGACCACGCTCGCGATCCCCCCGCGAAACATCAATATATGATGTGATGTAATAGAGTTCGGATCGCCCCCGTCGTCCGTCCGTCCGTCTTCAAAAAATTAGCACCACTGGAACTTCGGCGTCTTCGGGAACTTGCACCCGGACTGCTGAATGATCGCGTTCGCGCCGTAGTTCCCCGCGCGGACGCACTCCGGAACGTCCTTCCCGCAGACGAGCTGCGACAGGAACCCGCCGACGAACGCGTCGCCCGCGCCGTTGGTGTCCACGAGATCTTCCTTCTTCAACGGAATCACCGGGTAGCGGTACAGCTTGCCCTCCTTCGCGACGATCGTGTCGTCCATGCCTTGCGTGAAGCACACGACGCGCGCGCGGTGGCCGGACGCCTTGGGGAGCTTGGAGATTTTCATCGCGATCTCCGCGACGTCTCTCGTCTCCCACCCCTCCGTCTCCGCGAAGGTCACCGCCTCGCTCTCGTTCCCGAACAGAACGTCGACGTACGGCATCGTCTCCATCATCGCGGTCTTGAACGGCGGGACCTGCATCAGGAACGGCGCGGACAGGTTCATGCAGTAGCACTTGCCCTCCTCCGCGCTGTGCTTCGCCACCTTGAGCATCGACTCCGGGGACACCGTCAGGAAGAATCCCGCGGAGTAATAGAAGCGCGCGTCCGTCACGAGCTTCCAGTTCTCCGGCTTCTCGAGGTGGTCAACCTTGTAGTTGTTCGCCGCGTTGAGCGCGGCCACGAGCGAGCGCTCGCCGTCTTTCACGAGGACGCCGCACGTCCCCGTGGGCGTCGCCTCGTCGACCATGTAGTTGGCGTTGACGCCGTCGGCGACGCACGCCTTTTTCATCTCATCCGCGAAGCCATCCTTCCCGACGCAGCCCATGTACGCGGTCGCGAACGGCACCTGGAGCATCCACTGCGCGACGCGGATGGAGTTCTGCGTCGCGCCGCCGGCGATGTACTCGACGTCGAACTGCTTGACCATGTCCTCGTACATCGGCGCGTGCGACTCCTCCGCGAGGATGGCGTTGTTCAGCGCGACGCCGTACTTGTCGAGGAACTCCTGCGGGACGACCGCGGAGATGTCCAGGAGCGGGTTGCCCATGCCTAGGAGGACGCCGGCGAGGCCGCCGGATTCGAAGGAAGCCGCCTGACGACGACGAGGGGCGAGCGGGGAGGGAGGATGGGGAGGAGGATGCGGGGAGGAGGCGTCAGTCGGCGGAAAGCGCTCGATCGTCGATCGATCGGTCGATCGCTTTTTCGTCTGCTGACGCGCGAAGTGCCGAGCGATCGAAGCGTCGGATCGGAGCCGCGGCGCGTCGCGCGACGCCGCGCGCGACGCGCGGCGCGCGCGCGGTCGAGAGACGGCGCGCGTCGGGGTCGCGCGCGCACCATTGCGATGAGAGTGTCGGTGAGGGGCGGTGCGTTCGCGCGCGTGGGAGTGGCTCGCGCGCGACGCCGCGAGCGGCGGCGCCGTGTCCGATCGCAGACGGCAGCAGCGCGCGGCGCGCGCTCTGTGGCTGACAGCGGCCGCGGCCGGCGACCGCGCGACGACGTGGCGGGAGCGCTCGGCGTCGTCTATCCATCTCCGAACCGTCGAGCGCGACGTTCTCCCCCGCGCGACCGCACGCACGCGCGACCGCGAAATCTATCCCACGCCCCGCCCGCGCTCACCACACGACGCACGCCATCACGATGCTCGCGCTGACGACCGCGCCCGTCGCGCTCGCGACGACGACGACGACGACGACGACGACGCTCCGGCGTCGCGCGACTACGATCGCGAAGAAACGTGCATCATCTCAACGCGCGCGCGCCTCCTCCGTCGCCGTCCGACGCGGATCGGCGCTCGTCGTCCGCGCGGCGTCCGAGGGCGAGGACGCAGCCCCCGATAGCCGCGCGTACCGCGAAGCGAAGGAGCCCGAGCTCGGGGGGATCATCGGCAAGGTCGTGAGCAACCTCCCGGACGGTCGCAAGGCGTCCGCGCCCGAGTCCTACGGCGCGCGACCGGCGTCCAAGACGCTCTCGGAGGGTCGCTACCGCCGCCCGCCGCCGGAGCGCGTCGGCGGCGTGACCGAGTCCGCGGTCAGAGGCGACGACTTCGAGGTCGTGGACGGGCCGTCGTTCGGGATCGGCACGCTCGTGGGCGTCCTCGTCGCGGCGGCGACGTTGGGGGGGGCGTACTTCACGGTGCAGAAGCTTCAGGAGGGGCCGGTGGCGAGGAAGGGGGGGGCGAGGATGCCCGCGTTCGACTCGGAGATCGGGAACGCGAGCAAGCCCGACGCGGCGCCCGCGGCGGCGGTCGTGGAGGCGCCCGCGGTCGTGGAGGAGGTCGCGGTCGTGGAGGCGCCCGCGGTGGAGGTGGACGCGAACTGAACCGAGCGCTGAGCCGAGGGCTCGGCGGAGGCGCGAGATCGCGGAGAAGAAGTGGTGAGAAATATTATGTACAAGACGCGACTCGAACTGGGTCTAATACGGTCTGCCGTATCCTCCCCCGCCCCTGTTATCTCTTCCGCCTCCACCACCCCCGCCCCCGCCCCCGCCGCGGTACCCACCGCCGCCGCGATAGTTGTCTCTCCCGCCGCCGCCGTACCCCCCCCGTCCTCGATCCGGGCCGCCGCCGTATCCGCCGCCGCCGCCTCCTCCGTATCCGCCGCCGCCGCCGCCTCCGTATCCGCCGCCGCCGTCGTCGTCCTTCTTCTTGCTCGCCGTCGCGATGCTCACCTGCAGCTTCTTTCCCTTGAGCTCGTACCCGTCGTAAAATCCCGGCGCGGACTGCGCGGCCATGGGATCGTCGTACGTGATCAGCGCCTCGTCCTTCGGTCGGCCGCTCTCGTCCTTGTAAATTTTCACCGCGTGAGGCCACTCGTCGGGGAAACCAAACTTTTGCCGCACGCGAGAGATGATCCCGATCCCGCCGAACAGCTCCTTGAGGTCGTCCTCCTTGACCTCGGCCGGGTCGAAGCCCTTGATGAAGATGCGGTTCGACGTGTCGTCCAGGCCGTCGTGGAGCCACCCCGCGGTCGCTTTCTGTTCCGCGTCCTTCAGCTCTTTGCTCTTGGGCTTGTTGCACTTTTTGCACGCCTTGCGCCAGGAGAAGTTGCTGTTCCCGCACGTGTCGCAGTTCCAGTCGCCGCCGGGGACAACCTTGGGGGGCTCGGGGTCCCTGAACCCGCCGCCGCCGCCGCCGCCGCCGCCGCCGTAGCTGTCCCGGCCTCCGCCGCCGCCGCCGCCTCCCCCGCCGGGGGCGTCGCCGTGCGAGTACCGACACGACGCGCCTCGGTTGCACTGCCCCTTCTGGAAGTCGAAGCACACGCCTCGTCCGCCGCCGCCGCCGCCGCCGCCGCCGCCGCCGCCGAGCCCCGGCGCGCCGCCGCCGATCCCCCACGGGTCGTTCGGGTTCGGCGCGCCGCCGCCGCCGCCGCCGCCGCCGCCCGGAGGCGGCGGCGGCGGGTAGCCCCCTCCGCTCGGGGGACCGGGGGGACCGGGCGGCGCGCCGTAGCCGCCGCCGCCGCCGCCGCCGCCGCCGCCGCCGCGACTGTCTTTCGCCATCTCCACGCGCACGCTCCGCCCGTCCACGTTCTGCCCGCTCATCGTCTGCACCGCCTGCATCGCCGCGTTCGGGTCGTCGAACGTGATGAACGCGAACCCTTTCGGGCGTCCCGTGTCGCGATCGGTGATCACCTTGCAATCCGTGATCCGACCGAGATGTCCGAACGCGCCGGCGAGCGTCTGCTCCGAGGTGTCGTAGGACATGTTCCCGACCATGATGCGGTTGCCCGACTGCGGAGAGAGGGAGGAAGGGTCGGGGGGTCAGGGCGAGGACGGAGGCGCGCGCGGATCGCCGCTGGATCAGGCCGACGACATAATAATTGTTACGCGCGGACGCTCGCGCGTCCTCGCGCGGCGACGACGACGACGACGACCGGGGCCCGAGGACGCACCATGGCGTCGAATGCGCGTCGGATCCGCCTCGCGTCTCTGTGATGCTCAAGGCGTGGGACTCCGCGCGACGATCGATCTCGAAAACGCGACGAGCGACGGCTCGCGCGCGGTGAGAGTGCAGCGCGGGCGGGGGCGATTTAGGGCGAGAACGAACTTCTTGGAGCGAGCAGACAGTCTGCTGGCAGGGAGGCGCGTCCCTTCTGTTCGCTTGTCGCGCGAATTTCGTTCAGCGAGTGGAGAGTCAGGAGTCGTTCTTTCAAAGCTTCGCTACACATATGTCAACGTCAAACGATGATTAATTCGTCACCTCCATGATCTTCACCGCGCCGCACGAGTTCGCGGCGACGAGCCGTCGCCCGTCCGGACTCCACGCCACGCTGCTGACGAACAACCCCGTCTTATCCCCGCCGCCCGCCGCGCCCGCGCCCGCGTCGCCGCCGCCGCCGCCGAGCCCGCGCTCCCCGCCGCCGAGCCCGCACCCGCCGCTGCTCGGGTTGTTGAACGCGCTGCACGTCGCGAGCGACTGCGTCGTGATCGGGCTCGGCACGGACCGCGTGTACAGGCACACCGTGTTGTCCTCGCTCCCGCACGCGATGTGTCCGTCTCGCGCGACGGACATCCCGACGAAATTTTTCTGGTTGAGGTGCCCGCGAAACGTTCGCGAGCACGCGCTCCGTTCGCTCCCGGGGTCGAATAAACCCCCGCCGGTGCCGGACGCGAACTCGTTCTTATCGCCGACCATGCCGCGCTTCACGTCCCACAGCTTCAGCGTGTTGTCCGTGGACGCGGACACGATCAGGTCGCCGCCCATCCAACGCACGTAGGACACGGCTTTCTTGTGCCCAGACAGAGTCACCAGCGGCCGCGACGTGTGCCTCAAGTCGTACGCGTAGATCTTGTAGTCCGCGCTCCCGAACGCGACGACGTTCGCGTTCACGGGAGAGAACTGCACGGAGCACACGTTCGCGCGCTGACGGATGCAAGACACGGACGTCGCCTGAGAGATGCTCCACACGCGAACGGTGCCGTCGTCGGACCCCGAGACGAGGCGCGTCGGATCCAATTGCGAATAATCCAACGACCACGCGCGCTTCCTGTGCTCGTTAAACTCGCTCGTGAGGACGCCTCTGTCCGCGTCCCACAGGTGCACGCTGCCGTCGTAGTCCGCGCTCGCGAGTCCGTGCTTGATGTACGGGTTCCACGCCAGCGACGAGAGCTTCGAGTTCGTCTTGATCTCGGACACCGGGCAGTGCACCGCGGCGCCGAGCTCCGTCACGACGGCGACTTCGAACACCCGCAACCGCTTGGAGATGCCGCCGGTGGCGATGTACTCGCCGTCGCGGTCCCACCCCGTGCTGCACACCATCTCCCCGAACGAGTGCACGTGCCCGATGGACACGTCCGCGACGACGTTTAAGGTTGTCCGTCGGACGCACCGCGCGAGGTCCGCGCCGAACCCGTCCATGGCGCCGGCGAGCGCGATCCCCGCGTCTCGCGCCGCCTCCGCGCCCGCCGCGCGCTTGAGCTCGATCGCGGTGCTGTGCGCGCTCGCGTTCGCGAGCGCGGTGAACGAGCTGCCGGTGACGACCACGCTGGGTTCGAGCGACGCCGCTTTCGTGGCGTTGGCGTACTTGCGCGCGATCGGCGCGATGGCGCGCGCGCACGCGTCGAAAAAGTCTTCCTCCAACGCGTTGAACGCCTCGTCGTCGAGCTCGCTCGCGGGCTTGAGCCCGGCGCCGACCGCCTTCGCGGCGGACGCGGACGCGTCCAGCGCGGTGAGATCGTTCGCGCTGAACGACCGCCCGTTCCCTAGCGCGCGATCGGCGCCCGCGACCGTCGTCAACGCCGTGGTCGCCGTCGCCATCGCGGGGGGACCCGCGCCCCCGTCCTCCGCGTCCATGCTCGAGCGACCGCTCCCGCCGCCGCCGAGCTCGAGGGCGTCTCCGCTGCCGTCGTTGCTGCCGCGTCGCGGCCGCCTCGACGCGGCCGCGTTCGCGCCGGGGAAGCCCAGCGTCGAGGAGGAACCCAAACCCAAACCCAAGCCGCCTCTCGGGAGGTCGAACGACACGCCGCGCCGCTCGCTCGGTCCCGGTCCCTCGAAGCTCGGCTGTCGAGACAGGACGTTGGCGCCGACGCCGTCGACGCTGTTTTGCCGCGACGGGCGGCCGTCGCCAGAGTTCCTTCTTCCCCCTCCGCCGCCGACGGAGAGCGTTCCCATCCCTCGCCTCCCGACCGCAGCCTGCGCGTCCGCGGGGCCGACGAGCTGCCGAAGCGCGTGCGCGAGGAGCGCGGACCGGACCCTGTGTCCCTGCGCCTCGCGCACGCGCGCCTCGCGGTGTCGCCGCAAAAAATCCGCCAACGCGATGAGCTCCGCGCGTCGCCTCTCCACCGCCGCGCCCATCTCTCGCGTCGTCGCCCACCCCGAAGCAGCGGCAGCAGCATCCTCGATCTCGGACGCGTACTTCGTCAGGAGCGCCGCGACTTGCGACGCGGTCGGTCGGTTCCCCGGCACGGGCTGCAGCAGCTGCCGCGCGATGGCGCTCTCCGTGGGGTCCCTCGCGAGCTCCGCCGCGCCGTCGCCGTCGGGTCGAAGCACGGCGCGCAACAGCTTGCCGACGTCGCCGACCGCGCTCGCGGCGACGTCGGGCCAGCACAGCTCGACCATGAGGACGCCGAGGGCGAAACACTCGCTCGAGGCGGACGGCCGCCAGCCGCCGAACGCCTCGCCTTCCGCGCCGAAAGCCGCGGCGGTCTTCTCCTCGGGGGAGACGTACAGAGACTCGTTCGCGTCGCCGCCCGCGCCCGCGGCGAAGCCCCCGCATGGGGACGGCACGCGCATCTCTCCGCCGATCTCGTCGTCGTCGCTGTCCATCATCTCGTCGTACTCGTCGTCCGCGTCGACGACGTCGTCCTCGTCCTCGTCGGGGTTCATCATCCCGGCCCCCGGCTCGCGCTCGTCGCCGTCCCTTCGCGCGTTGGACGTCGCCCACGCCCGCCGCGCTTTCCTCCTTGCGCCGCGGACGGCGGCGGCGCCCGCCGAGCACGGGTTCGTCCGCGGCGGCGTGGTCGGCCGCGGCGGCGCGATCCCGACCTCGCCCTGCGGCGATATCGTCAGCGCGCTCGGGCGCATCGCGCCGAGGAGCATCCCGCGGTCGTGGTGCGACGCCAGCAGCGACGCGGCGCGTCCGAGCACGTGCAACGCGTCTCTTCGCTCGACGAGGCCCAACCCGTCTCTGTTCGCGAGGTCGATCCACTCGCGTAACGTACGACGACCGTCCGTTAGGTTACGCATCGGCGGCACCGGGACCAGACGCTTCGCGACGCCGGTCATCTCGTCCGTGACGACGAGCGGGTCGTGGGTCGCCGTCGCGCGCGCCGGCGCCGCTCTCCCGTCCGCCGCCGCCGCCGCCGCCGTCGCCGCGTCTTCTTCCTCGTCTGGCACCTCGTGCACGGCGTCCATCTTCGCGTCAGGGTCCCTCGCGTTTGTTCCCCCCCCCGCCGCCGCGAACGGGCACGTCCCTCCCCGGACTTTCGCGCGCTTCCCGACGCGGCCGCCGCGCGCGTGGTGGCCCATCGGGCATCCGCCGTCGCTCGCGCTCGAGCCCGCCGCGCCCGGGAACGTCACTGAGGGTCGTTCCATACAAGCGATTGTCGGGATGGAGTTCAAAGGCGTCAGGTGGAGTTGAAAGGCGTCGATGGCGGGGATTGAAACCGAGGGGTGGACGGAGAGATGCGCCGGGAAAAGTCCTTAAGGATCGGCGTTCACCACGCCAACGCGGTCGTATGGGGACCAGTGTGTAGAACGCGCCTGAGCCGAAATCCGTCCCGCCCTCCCATCCCCCCGACGTGTTCGCGTACTCCATCGCGTAAAACTCCGCCGCCGCGTCGCCTCGCCGCGCCTCGTCGTCGTCGCTCTCGCCATCGCTGCTGTACTCCTCCGTCTCCGGCACGGGCAGCATCCCAGCCTCGAGGTCGACGCCGCCGCGCAGTTCCTCCATCGCCGCGGCTTCGAACTCGCGTTCCTCGTCCACCTCGCGGCCGTTCTCGAACCTCGGCACCATCTGGTACCGCTGCTTCCGTCGCCACACGTGCGCCCACATGTGCTTCACCGCCTTATTCGTCACCGGTTTGATGATGTAATCCTCCGCGCCCAAGCGGATGCAGTTCATGACCATGTCCGCGTGCTCGTTGGACGACATCATCACCACGGGCATTTCCGCGTAGAGGGGGTTATTCCGCACGAAGTGCAGGAGCGTGGGCCCGTCGACGTCCGGCATCATGACGTCCGTGAGGAGGAGGTTGAACTGCGTGCCGCGCTCGAGGAGCGCCATGGCCTCGCGGCCGGAGCTCGCGGTCGTGACTGTCGCGTCGGGGAAGAAGGTGGGGGGGACGCGGCGTCGTTAATCGACGGAGAGACGACGACGACGACATCTCGCGACGCGTCGACGTCAGCAAGCATGGAGAAAAGATACGCCGCGCCGGCCGCCGCCGCGTTCGCGCGCGTCGCACCTTGGTACTGGCATCTGCGCAAGAGCCCGGCGTCGTCCACGAGGAGGACGTGCACCGTGGAGCTGTGCGTCGTCGCCGCCATCGCGCCGCGCCGCGGCCTCCGCCGGCGACGGGCGACGACGTCACTCGACTCGTCCGCGCGTCGCTCGCGGCGCGGCGCGGAAGACGGTCGCTCGCGCCGCGCCGGCGCGTCCCTTTCCTCCGCGCGGCGAACGAACGCCGAGCGCCGTCGCCGTCGCCGCGCGCTGCCGACCCCGCTCGCTCGAAGGTGCGGCGCGTCTCCCCGCGCGCTCGCTCCGGTGTGTCGTGGCGTCGTCGCGCGCGAGATTCCTGCTTTCTTTTTCCGACTGGGAGATCGAGCGACGTGTCACCGGTCAGCGTGCCTTTTTTTCCCCGACCGATCCGCGGTCGACCCGCGTACGCGTACTCGTGACTGTTTGCGTGTACGAACCTCGCCGGGCGTACTCGAACACGTCAAAAAATCTCGCGCTGGACGACAACTGGCACCGCTCGCTCTAAGCGTGCGTTCCCCGGCGTTCACGCGAAGCGATCGCGCGCGCGCGCTGCATTCCTCACGCACGAACCCACGTTCCGCCGTTCATCACAATGGCCGCTTTCGCTGCTACCACCCCCTCCCTGAAGGTGCGTCCCGATTCTTCTCCGTCGCGGACGTCGCGAGCGGCGCGGCGCGTCGCCCGCGCGCGAATCCGTCGCGTCGTCTCGGGCGTCGTTACTCACTCGCTCCGGGATAGGGCTTCCTCCTCTATCCGATCGACGTCCGCGACGCGCGTCGGATGCGGCGCGCGCGCGCGCGCCGCGACGCGCGCACGACCCGCGCCGCGCCGCGAACGCGATCTGACGCGTCTCCCCCACCCCCCGTCGCTCTCCCCAGGTCGAGTACCGCGGTTCCACCGCGGGCCTCAAGCGCGGCAATACCGTCAAGGTGCGTGTTTATCCGAGTCCTTCCCTCCGCGACGCTCTCTCGCACATGGAGGATTTCCCGCGACGCCCTCCTCCGCTCGGACGACGCGCCGCGTCGCTCGCGAACGTCCTCTGACGCGCCATCCCCCGTCGCGTCGCGTCCGCAGGCCGCCGCCGTCAACACCACCACCGAGGCGAAGGCTAAGATCAAGGTCGCGATCAACGGTTTCGGCCGCATCGGTGCGTCCCCGCCCGCGCTCCGGAACTAACGCGCGGCCGCGCGAAGGGAAAAAAAAAACCACCTCGTCTCATCTTGTCGCCGTCGATCGATCGATCGATCGGTCGATCGCAGGAGACGAGACGAGACTGCTTTCCATACGACCCCGTTCGCGTGGTGAACGCCATTCCTTAAGGACTCCATCTCCGCCCTCTTCTCTCGCGACGCCGTCGCTGACGCCCCCCCCCCCCCCCC